TTTGGGCTTTAGTGAAATGATAAAAGTCCCATTAGTGAGAGCCCAAAAAAGAAACTAGTTTCTGCGTCGGAATTGGTATTGAGCTACCTGATCATGATGAAGACATGAACATATTACATAGCACATAGACTTTAAAATATATATTAAAGAGAGAACCATCTTAGTCAAAAAAGGAACGACCCTAATATGATTTTGTACATGCTTTATTTTGTTTTAATGATGTGACTTTCTCATTCCTTAATGATTATATACATTAATTTAGTTTATCTTCTGCTAATACTAACTTATGAGACGATTAGAAAAAAAATTGCATTCTACCATATTACTGAAGTTATGCAACATCTAGGCTATAAATATAAATGTGCATGCAAAAAAAAAAAAAAAGCTTTAAAAGGCTGACAGTAAAATGGCTGAACAACTTGACATGAGAACTCAAAAAAAGAAGTGGCTAGAACTATTTAACTAGGTTCAATTATTTGATTTTTCGTTATATCACTAAGTTTCATACTGTATATGTAAACTGAACTTGTTTAAGGTTATTTAAATTTTCATTATATCACTAAGTTTTTCATATTAATATTTGTCTACTCTTGGTTTATAGAATATACATATATGGTATTGCATACGTACATTATCATCTATACAAATTGCTTATGGGCAAACAAAAAAACTTTGATTAGTTTTCACCGAAGCTGTAAATAAAAAACAATCAGTCATGTCATCATGTGGGTCACGCTCTGTCACCTTAAATTATTGATCCCAACATTTTCGACATATATAACTTTCAAAATAAATAGCAGTACTGATAAAAAAAATACTAGCAAATGTACAACTAAAACTCACAAATTATTCAAATAAATAGTTTGATTTTTCCTGACCAGAGTAGTACTAATAGTCTAAATGTTGACTTATGAACTATATACATACATGTATATATATATATATATATACATCTCTGGAAAACAAAAGTCATCATATAAAAGAACCCGATCCAGCAAAATATATATCTATTGTATATTATGTGGATCAGTTAGTTTCCAAAATTCATCGTTGACATATTATGTAAATAAGTAATAAAATTGCATGGTGGTCACTCACTACTCACTGAATCATAGACCGAATGTGAAAACTTGAAAATAAAAATCTCATTGTCAAGAAAGTCATTTTGCACGTTACAAAATAACTGTAGTATGAAACACAATCTAAGGCTTTGATTGGTAACATGCTTTAACATTGAGTTAAGTTAAGTTAAGTTATAGACTTAACTCAAACATTATTCAAAAATGTTACCAATCAAGAATAAAACTAATTTTCTTGAAGTTAAGTTTGAGTTACAGTGTGATATGGTTGAATTACAAGTTTGAGTTATGTTCTTTGAAAAATTGCTAACTCAAAAGATTATGTAACATCATGAAAAATTCCATGTAGTAGAATTGGAGTATCCATCCATTTATTTTTAATTAATGATGCTTTTCCTTTTCAAAAACTTAATTTTTAATTAAAAACGAAAATTCAGTTATTTATACAAGCATTTATTTATTTTCTGTTTTTATTTAACTCATATATCAATAAAACAATTACTTTTACTATTTTATTTTCTTTAATAATTTTTCTTAAATATTTTCGTAAATTACTTATATGTTGCCAAATTATTAAATTTTTTTTATTTTTTAAATTATTATATTTTTATTTTAGTTTGATTAACTTTTTATATATTAAAGTTATTTAATTATTCATATATTTTAAATTTATATATTTCTATAATTTAATTAAATATAATCACTATTAATTATAATTATCAATTATATCAAATTAACCTTATTTAATGAACATATCACAAGTCAATAATTTTTGTAAAATTAATAAATCATATTTTTATAGCGATTTACTAAATCAAACAGCTGTTCCTACCACATAATATTTACTGCAAGTTACTATCAAATCAAAATATTTACTACAACTCCCATAACTTAAGTTACCAATGGGAGCCTAAATGTCTTGTAAATAAAAATACTACATACACATAAGTAACACATTATGAAACCAATTTAATGCACGATGGACCGGAGCGTAGAGTTGACGCGCTGAGACCCGCAAAATTAACGCGACGTATGTCTCATTCACACACAAACGATGACGTGTCAATGAGAAAAGAAGAAAGGAGGAGTCAACAACAGTGCCAAGTCAGCGTATAAATCCACAAAAAAGACAGGTGGCGCCTGTCTGGCGTCAGTGGTTGTCCTTCCGTGTCACCGTAACGTCAGTGTAGTAAACATGTAAAAGTGAGAAGGATGAGAGAAGTCCCAAAACCAAAACCAAAACCAAAAAAACAAATAAAGGAAATTAGTGGACCAATTTCGAACAGAGAGCTTTCAATCTCAGCTGTACGATTCTTTTTTACTGCTTTGCTGACTCTATATTTATATATATATATTCAATTTTATTTAGGATTTTTTATAGACAAATTTTATTTTCATAATTTTAAAAACAAAATACAAAAAAAAAATGTAGGAAACATAGACAAGAGAGCCGCGCAATTCGCTCCGCGATTGAGACGGCCCCATCCTCCTTATCCTTCCCCCAGGTTTTGTTTTCCTTTTTTTTCTTCTTTTTCCATTTTAATTTTTTGGATAATATTAATAAAAATGTCTTCTTCTCTTTTTATCAACATTAAATAAAAAATGTCTATAATAATATGAACAGCTATTATCAGATTTTTAAAAAAATATTGTCTTTGTTGGGTTATCCGAATATATATGAATTTGTGTGATAGTTTTTCATGTGTGAAAAGAATAAAATATATATATATATAAAAAATACGAAAAACTAAATATTCTCTATATGGGAAACTTCAAATGCGAATTACGGCACTTATGGGATACAGTGATACTACTACACAGACAGTACACACCACCACCACCTCGTATATTGCAACTTCCGTGCTCATTTGTCCCTTTTTTTTATTAAACTCTTTTTTCCTTTTTAATAAGTAAAAACGTATAAACTATATAGTAACATTTTTTAATACTAGTATGATTGGAATTATATAGTCTCTCATAGATAGAGAGATGGTCTAGAGAAATCGTGGTTAGGTTTTAGCTAATTGTTTCCCCATATTTTCTCCTACTATTGGTCGTTATGTCTTATAGAGAGAGATTTGTTAAAATAGTTGAGTCCTGAACTTGTTGTAGTCGTGGACATTTGTATTTTACCTAGTAGTAAAACTATATAAGTCTAGATAGGTACGTAGGTTTGTTTTGTTGTTAGTAGTGTTCAAGACTTTTAGGTTAACTATGATACTGAATTCATATGGATGTTGTCTCTTCTTGTATAGTTTAATTGTATACTGAATTCATATGGTTGGTGTTTGTAGCCTTAACCGATTTGGGTTTTGGCTGTGCATTATAATATTATATAGAATAGAAACATCGACGTGAATATACATTATCTCTGACCCATTGCTCTTTTTGACTTATCCAAATTTATGTACCATAATTTATAGTTACTTATTACAAACGTATTATACTATTGATATAGCTAACTCTTAAACTAAAAATGAGCTGATCGAAGCCAAAGAAAAAAGCCTCGTGAATTTGAATGATATATAGCTGCCTACTTGTTTGGGTGACATGATTTTTTTTCGATTTCGCATATATGCTTGCTGATAGCGAATGATATATACATAAATAAATGAATGAAATTTATGTTTTTAAAAGATAATAATGTTTTTGAAACCATTACATGCAATACAACTATCAAAGCAAAAGTATACAAAAAAGCACATTTGAGAGTGATCATCTAAAAAAAAGTTAAAGCTGGTTCTCTTGTCATATTGGTTTCAAAATTATAGTCAGTTACTCATTCTCTCGATCCGCTGTTGATTAGTCATTACTCATTAGTCATTAGTGACATTAAACAATAGATGGGTCATTATTTGTATAATTCACCTTACAAAAAACCCATATTATTATATATGAAAAGAAAAAAGTAAATCTAGAAAACATAAAACAACTTTTCGAGGGTTATTTAAAAACAGAAAAGCCAATTTTAGTGATTAGTGTCTTTTACACGACGACGATATTATTCCTCCTTCCTATTCATATTTACTATCCTCTCTCAAGACTCTGTCAGTACTCAAATTGCCCAAACACGACAAATAACAAATGACACAACTCTCGTTTTTTTCTCGCAATGATTTTTAATATTCTTACAAATGAAGAGTGTTCTCAAAACTCGTGGTGGTCCTCTAGTCCCTTTTTTTTTTTTTTTAACTCTATATTAATTTTGTAAAGTGAGGTCCATACTCAGGAAAAATAAAAAGAACCAGTTGAAAGTGAAACTTCATATTTACCCCTAAACAAAGATTAAAGATTTTCCCGCGCAATGGGGGAACCAAAAAAAATCAAAAACGAGGGTTTTAATTGATGACGTCAGATCAATAAACAATCGGACGGTTGTTAACGACGCCACTTGTACTTGTCCACCTCACTTCTTCTCTGTCCTCCATTTACATTTCCCTTTTGATTTCACCCATTTCTCTATGCATTATTACTTTACACTTTCAACAATTTTTAATCAAAATTCCATTTTTACTCATTAACAAAAGCAAGTAGTTTAAATATAAATTCCATTTTCACTACAATATATCTTAACAACATCTTATATATATATATACCATTTGTTTGACTGTTTATAATCTAATTTATTTAAACATTTATAACAGCCAACTAAACTAATAAAATGTGATTTTATGATTTCAAACGGTTTGAAAATTAACAATTACAAAAGTAAATAACAAATAGTAATCACGCCAAAACCCAAAAACAAAATAAATTTTAGTATTATAATTTTCGATAATAAGTCCTAAAACAACAAATTAAAATCTCTATTTTGGGATGAATGAGCCAAAACAAATTATATAATTTACATCTTTTATAGTATAAATAAAAATATGTAATAATGAATTAAATAACCCTATATAAACACCTACTCGACACTCCATATCTCTCTACTCTTCAGAGAAGTCGGTCCACCATTCCAACATTTTCAATTTTTTTTTTTGTTCCTCTTTTCTCTCATTTCATTCCCAATTATTATTTACTTTTTTCCTTTTTTTTTAAACATGCATTCAGTTCCGGTGATCCTCACCCTCACCGTACTTACGGTACTCTTAACATCACCGGCGCAAGTTATCGGATACCGTCCATACCCACCTAAAACCAACGGCTCCGATCAAATCTTCGCCTCTTCTAAAAAATTCGAAGGCTCTTCCAACCTCGTCCGCCTCCGTTACCACATGGGTCCTGTCCTAACCAACAACATCACCGTCCACCCAATCTGGTACGGCACGTGGCAAAAATCCCAGAAAAAAATCATCCGCGAGTTCATCAACTCTATCTCAGCCGTTGGATCTAAACACCCTTCCGTCTCCGGTTGGTGGAAAACCGTACAGCTCTACACTGACCAAACCGGATCTAACATTACCGGTACGGTTCGTCTCGGCGAAGAAAAAAACGACCGGTTTTATTCTCACGGCAAATCGCTAACCCGGTTATCGATTCAGTCCGTCATCAAATCCGCCGTCGGTTCTAGATCCCGCCCCTTACCGGTTAATCCCAAAAGCGGTTTGTATCTCCTCCTAACCGCCGATGACGTCTACGTCCAAGATTTTTGCGGCCAGGTCTGTGGGTTTCACTACTTCACGTTCCCGTCGATCGTCGGATACACGTTGCCGTACGCTTGGGTTGGGAACTCGGCGAAGTTTTGTCCCGGGGTTTGTGCTTATCCGTTCGCCGTACCGGAGTACATACCGGGATTAAAACCGGTTAAATCGCCGAACGGTGATGTGGGAGTAGATGGGATGATAAGTGTGATAGCTCACGAGATAGCTGAGCTGGCGACGAACCCGTTGGTTAACGCTTGGTACGCAGGAGCAGACCCGGTGGCTCCGGTAGAGATAGCGGATCTTTGTGAGGGTATTTATGGAACCGGAGGTGGTGGTTCGTACACGGGACAGATGTTGAACGATCACAGTGGTGCCACGTATAATGTAAATGGGATCCGACGGCGGTATTTGATCCAGTGGTTATGGAGCCACGTGGTTAGTTACTGTATCGGACCCAATAAGCTTGATTAGTAGCGAGTGAAATGGTTTGGTTTTGTGATTTAAATTCGTAATTTTCAAATTTGGGATGGAGCAATGTTGGAGAAGAATGAATGAAGTGATCAAGAATGGGGTTTGTGAGTCGATGGCATAATTAAGATTAGTTAAAATGATAGCGTTTATTTAAGTTTCTTGATTATGTTGCTTTACCTTTTCATCTTCTTGTTGAAACAAAGCCAATCTTAATGCGAAATATATTTAAAGGCTTAATACAGTATGAGTTTATAATGTCTTAATGCGAATTATACACGAGTTGTCTTAACAAAAAGACAAAAGTTATCTTTCTTTTAATTTGTTTTCGTTTTCGTTAATCATTTCGAAAATTCAATCCTAATGATTGCAATGATTAAAACATTAATTTTTTTTTTTCCTTCTAAAATTATAATCCTCATGAGAAGTGAGAACGCCTATGTATAAACCCAGTTGATATAGTTAACTTATAGTTCCACTTCCAAACTATAAACTCTTGAACTATGTATGTAAATGTGTCACAAAGGATTATGATTGGAGCGTTTAAAGATTATTATGTATCATATCGTTTGAGTCTATCTATAGTTGTCCTTTGTACGAAACTAACTAGGAGATATTTTTCTCAAGACATCAAGTAGTAAGAAAAGTGTAAGAAAACGAAAACAGAAGACAACAGGATAAATCATGTAAGGAGATATTTTGTTTGGAGGAGTGTGAGAAGAAGGAAGGCTAGGTGAAAGAACCAAACCTAACATAATTGTCCTTTTAATGTTTTCTTTTTTTTTCCCCTTAGACAATCATAACTTATTTACCCTGATTTGAGGCAATTGTTTTTTTTACTTCTTTTTTCACAGTGGCAAATCTTGTTTTAGAGGTGTCAGTTTCATCACAAGTAAAATGGTCACAAAGAAACAAAAAAAAAAAAGTAAAAAACACTACAATTAACAGGGTAAAAGCATCACATAAACTTTCACTTTTACTAGAATCAGACAAGTTGTCTGAAAACACAAATTTACCATTCTCAGTCTAAGTTGAAAGAAAATTACAATAAAGTGTCTTTATGTATGAAAATGGAGAAAAGATAAAAGAAAAAAAACAAAATGTAAGAAGGATTTGTTTGTTCATCATAAGAGTTTTGTATATAAAGAAGTGTTTTGTTAGTGTTTTTATAGTATTTATTATACTATACAGTTAGTAACAATTTTGTTAGGTAGACTTGGTAGTCGTAGTGACTAGGTATACTTGTGTTTGTTGTAATATGTGTGTTTCAGTATACATGTAATCATGAATGCATACGCGTGTAATGTGGTCAAAATTTTGTTCATTGCATTCAACGCCGTTGACAGATTACATTGATGATGGTGTTTGAACAACGACTCTACATATCGTTTACATTGAAAGTCTACCACAGATTTCACAAGTATTGATCAGTGGGTATGTTGTTACTCTGAGCTTAAGCTTGATGCTTGTTTAGTATTAGTGTGATCAGTGTCAAAGAGTCAAAGGGAGTCAGTAGTAGTGTAGCTGGATGTCAATTTTAAGTTAAAGAGTAGTCAGAGAAGTCTACAACTACAAGTCCGCAAACTTAGACGAGAGACTTTGAAAAGAAGCTACGTATAAACAAAAAAAAACATAAAGAAACTTTTTTATAGAGAAAGAAGAGAAGAGAGAATCAACATGATGGTGATGATAAAAATCAAAACAGCAAAAACAATGATAACAAATGAGCAAATCAATAGCACGATGTCTTGATAGTGGGAGCGAGAGACTTAGCGGCGCCTCCTATTAGGTCCCCCCAACACTTGACTTTCACCCTCCAAATTTTTCGGTGACTCCATTATTGTGTTTCTGTGTTTATATTTTTAGTTATTTCCCCTAAAAGTTGTTTACTTTTTAGATGGAACAACAAGTCTCGGACTTGTTCCTTTGGTCATGTATTCTTGTGTCTGGTCCATTCGTATAAGTATAAGATACAGACTCTTGTAGCCATGTTTGATTTAGCCTTAGTGTTTAAGTAAAGAGGGATTGGTAACAAAAACTCGATATTCTTGGAACCGAAACCAAACTGCCCAAGCTGTGATAATGTAGCAGATTTTGTACTGAATAGACCGGATCTGCTCCTAACCTGTATATATGTCCAAAGAATTAAAAACCAGCACGTCCCTACCATGACTGGTCAGGTCAGGTCGGCCCGTGAGCTTTTCTCTGGTATATTCATGGCAACAAGACAATTACTACATACAATGGCTTGGCTCTTGTTTTTTTCTTTCTCATTTTTGTTTATGGTAAAATGAAAATGGCACTGGAATAACTTGAAACTGATTTTAATTTTACATAACCAGCTCTCTCTGCATATACAATGACTAAGGTCCGATCAATACACACACCCTTTAACACCAATCTCTCTCAATCAACGGCAAGCTCTAATATCCATGGTAGAATAGTATCACTCTTGACCTTTCATTTTCTCATTCTGTATGTACTTAAGAACTCCATATGCAGTTGTCCCAGCCACAAATAATACAACTGATGGAGTAAACACTGGATACACATACTTCACAAACAACTTATCTAACTCTTCGGGAAGGAATCCTGCAGAGCCAACACAAACACAAAGGAGTTTTCAATAACTGTGTATCACCACCATGCCCTCAATTCTATCTTCTGTGAATTCTATTCTCACATATTATATGCATGAGTTAAAAAGGAAACCAGTTGTTAATTCTCGCTGTAACCATTTAGTACCCACAAAAGCAAGAGACCAAGCCGTTGTTTCTACAGCAATTGAATCAGGCCTCAGATCACACAGAATCACCTTATAAAGGGATAAACCATTAAGTAAGATGACAAGCTCGACTATAAGATATAGTCTAAGCACGAAAGTGAGTATAGAGCTACGGACTCAAGTTTTCGATATAAGCCTGTCAAGGCAAGTTATGACCAAATATCACTCTTATATGATTCCTTTCGAGTCGACTAAGGAAAAGGTAGTGACTAGTATCCTCTTGACAATTCGTTTCTATCTCTAGCTAAATCTTAGATTTAACACTTGGCTCAATTACGAAACTAGAATCAGACTGTTGAACCTCAGCTCATTGACTTAACAAACGTAAGCTCACCACAAACCTAATGATTGTTCTTGGCTAAAGATTCTAGAGTTATATGCAAATGGCCGAATTCGTATAATCTCCAGCAGGTGTTTAGTGAAAGCTATAGGGAATGAAGTACCTGAAGCGGCTAGAGCAATTCCTTCGATGAGAATGACGATACCAAGCCCAGCCCAAGTAAGAAGAAACGCGTTCTCGTTCTGTCTCTGCTCCTCTGCCTTCGCCGCTCCTTGTTCGCTCATAAACACCGGTTTCTCCACCGGTGTACGCCGATTCACCACTCTCTTCCCTTTCCCTTTCTTACTTCCCGATGTATCCGCCGCGCTAAGTTTCTTCGCCGGAGAACCGAATCCTACGCCGGAAGAGCTCGAATTCTTTGGTTGAGCTGGATCCTCGGTTTTCTCCGTTTCGATTTGGGGATTTTGACATTTGATTGCGAAATTAGGGTTTCTGGTTGTGAAGTGACGATGAAGATGATAAGGTCTCGAGGCGAAGGAACACGAAGAGTGGATTTGTAGCGCCATTTTTTCAGTTGGATTTGTTTTGCGATAGAACTGGATAATACTATAGTTTACTCGAAACGGCATAGCATTTGCTCAAAACCAAACTGCTTGCCGTTTCACTATCAACTAAAAGTTAGTAACTACGTCGTTTTAGGTTGGTCAATGACTCAATTTTGAAAAGGAATGATTCTCTGTTTTGCTTTTTTTTTTTTTTTTTTTTTTGTCGTCCGATTCTCTGTTTTGCTACAACCAAAGTATTTGTTCATTTATAATCTCAGCTCTTTTAAAAGACCTGTGGTTGCAGGGACAATGCCTTCACCATGAACACTAATGATCTCTTTGCCTGCTAGATCCGTAAGTAGCTCAGCTGGATCTTTGGCTCCTCCATGTTTGAAGAATTTCTCTCTCAGCAATGTTCCTGTGCTCAACGAGAGAGGATCCTCTTCACATATTGATTGCCATATTGTTGACGCAAAGCATTTGGCGTATAAGTAGCTATAGTACCCTGCATGCATATATACACCAGAGTTCAAGATACATCTGTGAAATCGCCTTTTAAGTAGATAGATAATATGTACCTGCTCCGTAGTTAAGTAGGTGACTGAAACGAATATGCCAATGTGTTCCTTCGACATGGCTCCAGCTCGTGTGTTGCTGTTTCAGTTCAGCCACGAGATGACTCACATCTCTTGCTGTCTCTGGTTGTTCCCCAAACAGCATTTGGTCAATCAGCGCATAGAACACCTACCAAAAAACCATATAGAAACCGACGTTGAACTCTCTAGCCCACATTCGTGTTTTCTGCATTGAGCCTATTTGAGAGGTGAATCAATTAAGCAGACCTGACGTTGCAGTTCAGTTGCTACAAACATGTTCCTCGCACCTTGTAATGAGTTGACTAACTTCTCGGGTATTGTCTCACCGGTAGAGTAATGCCGGCCAAATCTCTTCAGGAGGCGATAGTCCCATGCGTAGTACCTGAGGGATGCATGAGCACGTTCATTATGTACCACTCGAAGGTTGCAACTCAACTTTGAAAGAGTATTGAAACAATAGTTACATTGTTGGGAATTAGACTCACTCAAATAGATTTGAAGGCATTTCTGCTAAGTCAAGAGCCACCCTGGTACCAGAAAAATGTTGATAATCCTGCCAAATTCAGAAAACATAACAATCAGCAAAGCAGGAGCGAAATTTGAGGGGGGACCGTATGTAGTTTCTTGTATTGATAAATTAGTACAACACCGTTCGTGAGAGCAGAGAGTGAAGAGCATGGCCGAATTCGTGAAACAAAACTTCAACTTCAGAGTGATTAAGCTTCACGACTAATGAATCACGAGCTCGTGAAAAATTGCAAACAAGAGCCAAAATCTGCAATTGGATAAGATTAACAGGCAGGTGTAAGAATATGATATTATTTTCCCAGGAGTCAGTCTACATATTTTTTCCATACAGACGAAGTTTGATGAAACATACAGGAAGTTGGTATTCTGTCTCAGATATCTTGCGTCCTCCTCTGATTGCAAAGCTAGCACACCCAGGGTATTTGTCTTTTCTCGAGTACAAGTCAAGGTAAAAATACCCGAGATCACCCTGCAAGAAACGGTTGCATGATTTGTGAACATGAGGGAGCAAAGATGGGTGTGGTATGAAAAATTGGAGTGAACTATTATTGTTTTGCATCAACAAGACTTATGCAAGGATTATCTTAGTTTTGTACACAGCATACCTCGTTTGGGTGATGAAGAGACAATTTAAGCACATCTGGGTGCCAGGATTCACCTGGGGCCAGAGGAATGGTATGAAATGTTGCACCAAATAATGATTCAACCAGTACTTTTAGGCCTTCAATACATTGAGGCAGAGGAAAATATGATGCTACAACCTGTACAAGAATATTCCAACAGAGCACGGTAAGAAAAGTCTTCGCACAAATCTCTCTTGAGGAAAAAAAAAAATAACCCAAAAGATCCCGAAATGAAGACACAGAAACCCAAGTGCTTTTGCAGCACACTAAACAGATAATTCAAATATTAAAAAACAGCTTACACTGGTGTCAACATCATTGACGGAGGATTTCATCATTGAAGTATAGTAAGTCTCATCCCATGGTTCTAATTCTGCAGATTTGTTACCACATTTCTCTCTTTTAAAGTTTCTAATGGCTATGTATTCCTACAGAGATGGAAAACTAGTTATTAGAGCCTCAATTTTTAACAACAAAAATATCATAAAAGTGCCAGATAAGGTGCAAAGATGAGCTTACTTCGTCTGCCTTTGATCTGACTGTCTTGCTCAATTCTTGTAGGAAGGATGTCACAACCTTTGGCGATTTGGCTAAGTTTGGCTCGACCATAAAGTCAGCGTAAGAATTACAACCCATTATCTGAGAGCAAAAAAAAAAAAGCAGCTATTACAAAAAAGTAAAATGCAATATTTTAACACTGGAAATATACTAAATAGCATCATCAATGAACTTAACCTGGGCAAGCTCATGGCGTGCAGCGATAAGCTTCTCAAGAACTCCGTGATTCGAATGAGGAACAGAGTTCCCTTTAATATATACCATTTTTCTCACCTGAAAATAGAGGTATTGAATTAGAGTGGAGTAGTAACTAAAACTGTTTGATATCCAAAACTGATTGATATCCCACCTCCATCCTTAAAAAGATATCAGAAAAAGTTGATAGAGAAATTAGGTAAAGTAGGCACCTCTTCGTCTGATGTCCATTGCAAAATAGAAGAAAGGGTTCGTTGATCAGTATTTATTCGAAATCCCTTCTGTTTCGACTTAAACATTGCTCTTGTAGACCCTCTTGGACCCCTTTCAGTGGATCGGTAGATAGGGTTGACAAGATGATGCACATGTCGAGGGATGCGTGATGCTGGAAATATATCAACATGTCCTGGATCATCAGCAATGTTTTCGCTGAACCTGGATATAGATCAAAAGGAAGTTAACACTAACAGCACAAAGCACCATGATAATACCAGTTTTTCAATGGAAACAAAACTTGTGTAATTATGGGTACTCACTCCCTGCATGATTGAAAAATATTGGTTGTTAAGCTATTCACTTTATCTAGCTTTTCTGCAAAGAAGAAAAGAGGCATTCAACATCAGGTACACCAGCCACATCATAAAGGCCTAAAGGGTAAAGAAAGAACCGCAATAAATAACAAACCAGGGTCTAGATGAATGCCACCCCGTTCAAAGTCCATTCGGAGGTGATGTGCAGTCCTACTTGCTTCTTTGGTAAGCAAGTTAGAATCTTGCTCTGCTTTTTTCACCGCAGCATACAAAGTATGGTTTGTGTTAAGATGCTGAACATCAATAACCCAGAAAAAAAGTTAAGAAATCGCCAAGAATAAACATAGACACAACTCTGTCTACTCTACTGAGATGGATGAGTCTAGAGAGGTTATATATATCCTCAGTTTGGTAACATTTAATGCCTCAAGTTTCTACAGCTGAAAGGAAAAAATATATTGATTTGCAGATCTTTTTGGACAGCTGCGTATTCATGTCTAAACAAGAAAAAAATGTTCAAAGATGGAGGAAATTTCATATATTTCCTTTTGACATAAGGTAACTACATACTTAACATGTCATTGTTATAGGCATTTCAAGATTCAAACATGTAAACCGAAGAAAAAAAATCAAAGCTGAGCAAATTCTTGGTCACCTCACATGTAGATAATCATTCATCTCAATTGCTGCTTTATTCGCTTCCTCAACAAATTCTCTATCACATTAATAGAGAAAAGTAAGCAAATTAAGAATTTATATATCAAAGAACATAAGAAACCAACTATTGAAAGATCAGAACTAGAGAGAAAAGAGACCTGTCAGGATGGGTTTGTCGACAGAGTTCAGCAGAGTCAACAACACAACAAACCTACCCAAAAAAATTGAATTCAGAAAAACAGCAGTCACTTCAAGTACCATAAGAGCTAATAACAAGAAACACTAATAATAATAACACAACTGCAGCAAGAACCATACCGTGTCTGAAATCTCATCCATGGCTTTAATAATCTCTGGAGACGAAGGCATTCCTGATATGTAGCTCACCAACTCACCAGACCTAACACAATGGTTCCAGAACCAATTTTTCAATAATCATAGAACATCACAACACAGCACAGTAGCTGTAAAACTTCATAGAGCTCTCTAGTGAAACACACACACACACACCATGATTATGACTAAGCTACAATACCATCCCTATCAATATCAATGGCTATTTTGACAAAGCACACACATTACTAATTTGATAAAAATCATACCTTTCAATGGCATCAGCGACGAAGCGCTGAAACCCTTTAGCCGTTTTAAGATGATCGAAGCCGTAGAGACCAGTGGCGTCTCCAGACCCTCCGCTCCGGAAATGTCGGATTAACCATCGGGTCGAATTGATATGCGGCTGCAATCGCCGCGTCAGCTTCCACATTGCTCTGCTTCTTCTTGCGGCTTGTACGGAGGAAGACACTTGACGTTTAACTTGAAAACGCTCAGGGTTTTGGTAGGGGACAAAGCGATGTGCTGCCATTTTGAAATTATGAAAACGGCATGGCGTTTGAGACGGGAACTAAAAAAAACTTTGAAGAGGCTAAAAACTTTATACTGTAGTGTGAAATTGTGATGAAGAAAAATTAAATTGTTGATCTTTCATGTTTCAAGTCCAAATATTTCCACGAATTTTGTGTTTAACACCAACAAGAAGACCATTCTACATTTAGGTCTCCACTCTTCATTACACTTTTTGTAATAATTTTTTTTTTCTTTTCATATTTCGGAATTTCTGAGTATAGTAATTGTAACAATACAAAATCACACTACTAGCTAAAACCAAATTATTTTCTTTTCTAGTAGTGTGATTTTGATGCCATTTGATTCGACTTAACCAAATTAGACAACTCTATTATTCTGGTAACCATCCATAAATATATGTGATCCATATCATACAAGTCGGCGTAATTAAATTAACTCTAACATGATAGAATATAATATAGTAGATACAAGAAATTCATCGCATCAATTTTGACGTGAATAAAAAAAAACATGCACATGCAAGGAGTAGTAGTAAATTAATAATCCATTCAATAATAACTTTCATAACCTTTTCTTCTTATAAAATCGTGAATTAGCTAGTAACGTAGATTCGTAATAAGCGCCAAGGTATTACTAGTCGTCATTGCAAGTTCCTCAACAACCTTTTTAACCTTCTTCGTTGTTTCTTTATTCACTTTCACCTCCTCGAACCCGTCAGTACAAGTCCCTTCGTCGGTCAACGCCGAGCTCACCCATGTCCTAACGTTCGTGATATGCTCAGCCACCGAAGCACCGTCTTTGAGAGTCTTCATCTCTGTGATCGCTTGCTTGAGCTCAATGATTGTGTCCTTCATCTCCTCGAGGCAGTCTTTGAGAATAAGAGTCTCCGGTAACATTTTATTCTTTCGTCCGGCGGTGGATCTCTGAGACTTTTTGAGAAGCTTAGAGACGACGGACGTTGCTTCCTTTGCGGATTTCACGTTGAGGTTTAGCGCGGTGGTGCATAGCTTGATAGGATCGGATTTGATGGTGGTGGAGTATGAGGATAAGGACTTGTAGCATTTGTCAGGTGATGTTGTCGAGTTGCAAGCCGTTTTCACGAACGTTTTGTGGTTTTGGGAGTATGATGGTGGACTGGCTGCTGATGTTTTGTCGATGTTTGTCGATGCTATGAGAATGAAGATGGTCGTTAGAGAGTATAGGAACTGCGACATGTTGATGGTGGCCAGCTTCCAGTTTTTGTATTTTTGTTTTCGTGTATTTGTGGACAAATTGTGTTGGGACGAATTGTGAAACTATGTAGTAAGTTGTGTCTTGTGTGTATCTTATATAATAAGATAAGGTTTTTTCTAACTTTGCCTCACAAAGCGACATTTGGCGCTCTATATGCTTGACATGTGTCATTTTTATTAATTTCTAATTTAACATTTAAAATTATTTTATTTATGATATTGTGTTGAAAGTTATAAGATATGTATTGTTTGCTTTTAAAAAAAGTGTCATTGTTGCAAAAATTTTTTTCCCTAATTTAAGTTTCTATTTAAATTAAATATCATATAAACTAAACATAAAATGGAGTAGTTAAATTTTTTTTCTTTGTATTCAAAGAAAATTGGTATGAGTTTTTTTCCTTAAGATTTAAAGTTCAAAAATCACAACAAAATTTCCTCCTCCTTTTAAAGTATTTTTTCCTAAAATTATTAATATGGGTAATAGATTATTTATAACATATTTATATAAATTTTGGGAAATAAGTTTATAATAAAATAATTAAAGAGAATTATTTTTTCTTTACTTTAGCACGGTGAAATCTACGGTAAATAATGAAATTAGAGAAAGTTTGATCGTTTTTCAGTATAATAAATTAGTACATCTACAATATTTAGATAAAGTAACTATTTAACCAAAAAAATATTCTACTATTTAATTTACTATAATTTAATTTAGAAAAAAAAAATTATTTAATTTACTATTATTAAACAGTTGAGAGAGGAAACACTGTCTAATAGAATACAATATCATGAAATTTAATCAAAAAATAATTATCATATTATTCACAAATCATATATATATAAATAAATTTTTACGCTCTTCTTATTGGTTCACTTGGCATCTAACTTAAAACAAATATTATGTATTATCACATATATAATATATATATTTAATTCCCAATTTAATATAAATCTAAAAAACAATTAAAACACAAAATAGTTGACAAAAAAAAAAACACAAAACACATTTAGTCATATACATTAAACTCACACTTTAATATAAAAACTGAAATAATATAAATTTGCATTAACTATATTTTACATTGAATTTTTCAGCACACAATAAATTATAATTGATTCCCATAATTGTTTTATGAAATTGTAACTTCCATCCTCTAATTCTCTCATCCTCTCATCCCCTATCTCAATTATTATATAAAAAAAGAGCTTTGTGTTTTTTTTTTGTATGAGTTTTAGAAAACAATCAAAATATTGTTTTATAAAAGCTCAACTGTAAAAAAAATAAGAGACTATATGATATACATCTTATGTTATTATAGTTTTTGTTTTTTGAAAATTCATCTCTATTTTATATATTAGATTATCATCATATAAGTAATCATTCCCTCACCCTATTCAATTATATTCATGTATCTTTAATATTTTTCTATTTTTTATATTGTCTATGGCATAAAAATCCATGAAATGATCATTTAAGAATTTGATATAAATAGTTTTAGAAAGTATGATACAAATCTAACATAATTTTAAATTTAATCATACTTATAAATTAAGAAAGTATGAAACAGATGTGTAAAATAAAAGATTTTGAAGGCTATAAAAATATAAATTTTGATTTAAAAATATTAGTTCCAATCATCCTAACAAGAGAATTAAGTTAAAAAGATCCATTTTGTTATATATTTTTGATGTTCGCATAGTTTCTTACATATATATTATTATATGCATTTTTCTTTTTTAATTATGAAATTTCTAATTAAATATGTAACCGTAACACATTTTCCAAATAATTTTTTCTTTCCTCTTTTGTATTAAAATAATTCTTTGTAATTTATTTTAATATTATGCATCATTATAATTAATTTTTGTGATCTAATAAATTATTATATAAATATCGTTAAAATGTTAATGAGGGCTAAGTATTTTTTGAAAACGAAAAAACGTGGCTAAAAACATTTGGTCCTTCAGATTTTTTTTAAAACAAAATATTTTTACTCCTACCGGCTAACTAACCATAACTTTGAAATCTTCTTATACGATCATAGTACAATAGATGAACTTTACATTGAACACTATTTTTGTATAGAAACATACAAAGAAATCAACACTTTGGTAGATAAATTAGAGAACTTACCTGGTACTACCTTAATATATCTTCTTTCAAATTATAATATTTTCCATTTCTACTCTAAAATTTTATTTTTTATTATTTCATTATTTTCCTATAATTTATTTATTTATAAATTCCCATGATGTTATTGTTACATTATTTATTTTTTCATTTAAATTAGAATATATTATTTTTTCTCGGGAATCGTGGTAGAGAGCAAAACGGCTATGGTAAATTGTATGTGACTTTTCTTTTTAATTAACATAACCTATTTTTAAGAATGCATATGGTTCACTTTTTAATTGTATGTGTAATTAATATTAGGCTATTTTGATGCTCTGGATTAATATAAAGGTTGTTGACAAAAAAATTGAAATATTAATGTGTCATTATATAATACTATCCGATATGAAATATTAGAAGATTTGATTTTTTGAGAGACCGAAGGAAAAAGTAATCAACACTTAATAAGCAATGATATTTTTTAAAACAAAAAAAAATGAATATGACACCAGGACAAACCTAAAGTAGATTTGTATAGATTATAAGTTCAAAGAGTTGTTTGTAGTGTGATCTAAGACTATAAATTTTACTCTTAGTATCCTACTGTAGTTGAATAAAAAAAAAATATTCTAATGCTTATTTTAATTGATGATGGAATTTGTTGAATACAAATTAAAAAATTATTTCACTTTTTGTTTTTTTTTGTAAAAAAATACCATTTATAATGTATTTTAAATAATCTATGCAGTAGATAGCAATCTGCATAATACAAAATAATCATGAAACATATACACTTAGTTTTATATTAAAATTTGGAAATATCAAATAAATATTCTATGAGATAGTGCATAGAAATGAAGAAAATTACTTAATTGCTTCAATCAAATTGATTTCCAGAAAATATAGTAAAATTATTATAAATATAATATCAAATTTATCTCGCGCATCGCGCGGGTCTACTTCTAGTTATATATATACAACACACATGCACATTTTGTTGTAATTAAAAATTGAATGTAGATCTTTCTTTTAAAAATAGTTAAAATATATGTATCAAGTTTCTGATATATAATTAAGAACAAAATCGTATTATGCGTATGAGTACGTAACTTAAATTTTCAAAAAAATGGTCAAGAAATCGTAAAATATATCATAGTCAACTCTCAACTGTTCGTTCGAATTAGATAATTCCCAATACGAATGGGTTTTTTAAAAAAATTTTATATAACAGTAAAGATGATTCCGTTGTGAATGTGATTATGGGTTTCTTCTTTTGCTATATATGGTTAATTAGTGTGTACTCAACAACAAAGCCACAGATAACATAGAGTATCATAATATCCGGCATTCATATTGATAATGTTTACATTTTGAGTATGCTAGGGACTAACGATCCCATTAACTCCTCTCATTTACATCTATAATTGTTAATTAAGTTATGATTGATGCCGATATAATTTTCCACCAATTTAATCCTGTTATAAAATTAAACTATGTCAGTTTGACTTTTTAACCATCAAAAACTATTTGTAGATCATGTGAATCTTTAAAAGTATGTAATTTAGTGTGGATTGTTTTATTTTTCTATATATAAACCGTAAATTTATGCATGCATGTTACGAAAATTCAACCGAACTATATGTCTATATCCAAACATAGGAATATATACTACATAGTATCTCTCTTGAGAACACTCCTTTGGGTGTGAAAAAGAGATAAACTTTTCAGAAATAGTGTAGTGTGAAAGAAAGAAAAAAATAACAATAACAATGGACCATATAGTAAGTCTTGAATTGTCTAAAAATAAAACAAGAACATTATTACAAGTTTACTCCGTGATTCAAGCCTAATGAAATGTAAGGTACGTGACACGTGATGTGATGAACATGGATTAGATAGATCTCCTCTTTTGAAGGAATCATAAACTCATTTGCAAATTGGTCTGTCATGCATTACCTAATAAGTAATAACTATACATGATTTTTTTTTGTATTGGTTGGCATTTTACAAATAACTAACTTGTTATTTGAATTGAATTAGCCATAAAAAATTTTATAATTTAAATATATGAAACACGATGAAATTTAAAGTTAACATTTAAAGGGCATGAACTAATCTAGTTGTAGATAACTTGTTTTGAGTAGTTGGACTTTTAAGAACCTTTACAATATTCATTATCTTTTATGCAAAAACGAAGATATAAATTATATAAATATGATGAGAATCTTGGTGTGTTATTTTATGTTTCTATAAATGCAATCCGAATTTCAAGAAAGAGGATCAAATAAAGTCTCAAATGCAAACTCCTAACTAAGTATGGTGGCGGGTGACATTGAACAATGAACATGATGAATAGAGAGTGTTTTCTAATGTTCTACGTTAATTCGAACTGTATTTTATTTATTTTACTCTTGCTTACAAAATACTATCTACTTATTAGTTGCCTCTTTTATTGAGATTCATCTATTATGCTATATGCAACGTATTGAGGACGTGTTTATCAATAATTATCATTACATTAGTATGACAAAGTGTTTGCTTGCCATTTCAATATTTTATTCTATGATCGAAAAAATATATACAAGTTTCGAACTTGAGAGTTTAGCTAGCTAGCCTTGCATGCAGCTGATTGTGTTTGATACTATATGATATAATGATACAATTATAGACCGTCGCATCGCAAACTCGCAATAATATTTCGCATAGTAACATGTGATAAGTACGGTTTCCACATTGGAGCCCTGATTATACTATCATAGAAAACACAATAGTACATAGTACTAATATTAATGAAATGATAATTGGGAAGAGGGCATGACATTAACATGGGCCACTTGGTGTTCTTGGCTGGAAAACAACAATGGCCATGAGTCTCTCATTGACTCTAATACAACAATGTCTCATCCAATTCTCTTAAAGTATATTAACATTGTCGTCGTCTAAGATTCATATATATTGCTTCCCTTAGGTACCGGCCGGTCGACGAGTTATATGTTTTATCATTTCGTAATAATCATTATGTAAACCCATCTTTAATTAAGTGACTAAGAACTATCTAAGTGAATTAGTCAAGGCACTTAATATTACGGTGTATCGCTCTATCAATAATGTGTTTTTGAATGGTTAATTGAAAACGTTATGAATAATTTTTAACAAGAGTTTTACAACTATTCATGTAGTGGAGAAAACTAAACGGTTCAAAATTTCAAATTTCTTCATGTAGGAGAATTACGCACGACAGAACCCAAATTCTCTGTAATCCCTATTCTGCTTTCGTAGGTGGAGACATGTTATTGACAAGGGAACCCGTCACGATGATCACTAATATCTGCACCACTGCTCCTGCATTCGACAGAAGAAAACAGAATATTTATAACCCACGAATGTGTAACTCAAGTAGCATCGGGATGTACTTGAAGAAGAAGTGAGTAGAATCTTCTGGATGTTTTACCTAATTGAGCACTAATGAACCCTACGAGCTCAAGCTTCGCTGTTGTTCCTGAGCTATTCCGTTCCTACAGCATTTATCGAGAGTCAGGTGATAGCATCAATATACAAGCTAAAATTCATCTTCTGAGACACCATTACTACCACAATCACCAGTAGTCCACAACTAGGAAAGTAAAATTCTTTCCTGCTTTGGATCATCATCGGAGCTTTAACAGGTATACCGTATACTTCTAACTAATCGAAGCTTATCAGTTAATTAACTAATTATGCAAGTAAAAAATTGGCAGTGCATATAACTAGAGTGAAAGTTTGTTCGAGTCAGTCCATTTACCTCCATCGTTAATCTGCTCCTAACAGCACAAAACACCGAAAGAACCATAACAATGGTAGATGCAGCCGTATAGAGCCTCAAAAGGTTTACTCTGCTGCGTCTACAACCTTTAAACAGAGACAACAAACACATATAAAGAAAAGAAAAGAGGATGCTTTTAGTTATGCATAACCAGTAGAACAACAAAGAAGAGAGGGTTAACCTAATTCTCCTATCAATGAAGACACAAAGCCAGCAGCAGCAGCTGCAATTGGAAGGGTGTTCATCTCATCCTTTTTAGTTGTTGTCAGAAACGCACACGCTAGTCCGATTAAATAAATCGCAGCCTGCAAAAGCCAAAACCTGAAAGATTTGAGCTAAAAGAGATACATCTCCATGAGATGAGACCATGACAATATTAAGCCTTTTTAACTAATGCTACAACAATTTCAAGAACACTACAATCTCAATGAAATCAAAACTGCATGTAGCACTTTTGAAACCTATGAATTTGCTAGACACTAAACTAAATGATTTGGTTAATTTTGAAACTAAGCTATAGGAGATTGAGCTAATTGCAATTTGTTCAACCCCCTCAATTGTGAGAACAAACTAGTTCTGAACCTTTAAGTGTGATACACCAAACATGAACTGATAAATTCAGTGCTCAAGTATGTAACATTTTGCAAACGCATCATAAAATCGAATTCTAGACCAAATCAATCGAAATCCAAGAGTACCTGAACAAAGATCAAAGGACGGAGACGAGCTTTCTCTTGAGTGACCTTGGTGTAACCTAAACCAAAACGTAACGAACGGATCAAGAACAAATCGAGATTAAGGATCTGGAGTCAGAGGAGACTTTGGGATTTTGTAAACTCACGAGAGTCAACGACCATGCGGTATGAGAAATCGGATCCATCGGTACCACTAGGTCTTCCGGCCGTCGGCTTTCTCTGCTGCATCTTCTCCGGCGAAATTGGTAACGCTCTAAGTTTGGCGTCGATCGGAGATTGAAAGTGAGGTTAGAGAGGGTAACGTCGACAAAGATTTTTGTTTGATGTTTTTGGGTTTGGGTTTGGATTTGGATTGAACATTATAACCGAACTGAACCGTACCAAATCCAAACTAAACCGAGCGAATTTTGGAAGCTACCCAATTTATATATGGTTTAGATTTTTGTGAATGACTGAAAAGTTTTTTTTTTTTTTTGTTAACAGAAAGACTGAAAAGTTATAAGAAAAACACTAATAAATATCCACTTCTAAACATGTTACGTTTAAATATCACTCAGCATTAAACCCAACAAGGAATTCGATATATATTCTTTACAAGTACGTATCGAAAATGCCCAAAACCAACCATATATCGATACTTAATTCAAACCTCTTATTAAAAAATCAAACTCCTATGCAAAACAGTATATATGGTCTTATATTTTGAGCATATATAAAAGTAATTAATATAAAGAACAAAAAAAAAAAAACAGATTTCAGATTTGTTTATATATGAAGTGTTTGTTAGGAAATAGGGAGCCAAGCCAAACACGAGGAGAAATAGAGATAGAACGAAAAGCCCATTGGTGTCTGAATTTGATGGCACATTTTGATGAGTGACGACCCTCAAATTAGGTTTCCCGTTAATTTTGTTGTGGACTACATTGTATCAAATTATCAATACATATAAGAAACCATTATCATATTATTATGTTCTTCAATTACTTTTATCCTGGAAAACTGAAAACAAAAAAAAATCGAAATCACATATAGTGAAAGTGATAAGCGAATATTGCGGTGGGGATAATAATAATAGATAAAGCACATTTAAGTGCTTATCATTAGTTTAGAATCGGTGGTGCAATGGCAAGCAAAGAAGTCAACGATAACTTCTGTGTTCTGTCTCTTACAGATCCAATCCAAACCATAAGTTTCCATTCCATTCCATGTGCTTCTTGACATTCACGCAACTACGTACAACTTATGACTTTTTTTTGCTGATACTTCTATTACATGCCAGAGCTAGTGCTGAAAAATTATGAAGAATATACAACAAAGATATAATTCTTGACGAAACAGTACGTTTGTTTACAATAATCTTAGAGATGATAGATGAAATTTCATAATAAAATAAGCAAGAAAGCATGATGGGATCGATGTATAGTACGAGAAAATGTAGTGATTGCGTGAGAGTGTATGCATGGACATTCGAGAGATCTATCACATGCATGGGTCATTTTTTTCCTACGTATTAATTAGATTTTTTTTTTTTTCGTCAAATCAATATATTGATATCAAAAATTGTTTACAAGATACAAAAAAACATTCTAAAACACCATTATACGCAAATATAGGAAATTGATACAATTTCGATGAAAAAGTGGAAGTAACCCCGCTATCAGATAGCCTTACAGGCAACATATATAATATGTTAAGTCCCTCCTTCACATACTTTTTATTGGCTATCAACATATAGCTGAAACTCCAAAATGCCACTGGCATTACTTTAATTTGGAAACGTGAATTCAATATCGTTGAAGATGTTTTTGTATCTTGTTGCTTGGTTGAAATCAATACATTTGATGCTTCCGCCAAATACCCTCTATGATCCTTTGAGAGTCTTCTTGCTGCTCTATTCCGTTTTGCTCGAGTAAAAAGAGAAAACCAATCACATGAGATGAATGGTTGAAGATGAATAAAGTAATAATACTTTCTCGGTAAAGGTAAGACTTCCGACCAAAGATAATAATCGCCATCACTCAAGTGTTGTTTCATCGTCTTTCTTATTGGACAGTGATGTTCTCCGGTTCTGATTAATAAACCGATCTCTGTTTCGAAAACAGCCCATTTGATGTCTCCTTCATCGATAACAGAGTTGAAATTTGGCCATAATCCATTTTTTGTCCAATCCTTGTGATATGAAAAGTTTCCCCCTGGATCCAATAATCTTAGAGATGATAGATGAAATTTCATAATAAAATAAGCAAGAAAGCATGATGGGATCGATGTATAGTACGAGAAAATGTAGTGATTGCGTGAGAGTGTATGCTAAAAGCATCTTTTTCTTGATAAAAAGAAGAAGAACATGCCATCTTTCTCGACAAGTTGAAATGTTCATTATAAATATGAGATTATACATAATTATTCAACATATATATATATAGTTGAAATTACATTCTATAGTAACTAACTTACATTGGCAAAATGAATGACAAGAATTTCTAGCAGCATATAAAATTAGCGTTTATAATAGTGTCGCAATCGGATTCAATTCGCGTGGTTATGTGTATGATATACGTTACAGACTAAAATATATCGTTTGTGTGAAATAAAGAAGAAACAAATATTTGTACTAAAATAACAATTAAAAAGTCGACACTAATTAAACTAGGGTCTTGGACTCTTGGTGACGATAATGAAGACAATAGAAAAAAAGTTAACAGGTTTTGCATTTAATTGTGATTTGAACGTAATAGTTAATTATGTTTGTTGACGATACATCAATAGCACGTGAAGTGAAGGATCCACAGCAGAAGTGCCAGGAGAGAAAGAAAATGGTATTAGTATGAGCAACTAATTAAGTCTAATTAAGCGTTTGCTTATGACTTTTCTTACTTCTTGGATTCTATATTATTGGACGTTAATAATTCATATTTAATAATTTGAATCGTTGTCCTATATTTTAATTTTATTTCAAGAATCCAAGATCTCGTACGGCGTTCTTCTAGATATTATAACCACTTCAAATCATTTACATATTGCCGGACCTGTCGGTATTAGAAGTTAGGAAAAGTATATATAATTGCATGTTTAAGAACTAGTTTCTTTTACAGCTTATATCAAGTTTTTGTGTTAAATTAAGAATAAGTGACCATTTGGAAGAAGTAAAAATGCAAACATAATGTCTTAATTATCTAACCAAAATTATAACATATAACCTAAAAGAGAGAACGCTAAACACTATTCAAATATTGGTGAACTCATCAAACTGATGAATCTATAATGGGGTTATCCGTAAAGGATATATCTAGCACAAAGAATTTAAATTATGAATTGTGATGGTTGATCTCAATGAAAATGTTTTAATTAACTACTTAACGAGATTATAATACGTAGTCTCAACGAAAAAAGGCTAAATCCTAGTTATCGCTCAAACCCATCTGTGTACTCTACAAGGGACATTTAGCATAAGAACATCTAAACTGTGATGATGAACCCATATTAGTTAATGTACAATACATCATCCATAGGATACTATACATATAATAATGAAATCTAAACATTGAATTGTAATGTGGAAACTCAAAATGAAAGTGATTGAATCGTTCACGCAATAAGAAAAGAGCCATCGAGCTAAGTCCACCTCACTCATGACCTCACAACATATATTTTTATTGGTTAATGTTTGGCTTGTTTTGCTTCAATATTGATATTACCACAATATATAAATATAGATTTAATTAAGTGAGATTAATTGGAGTCATGGTTTCACTCTCTAGTCACTAACATTTTACTATGAGCTACACTCAGTTCCACCTTCTTATACCAAACCACATCACTTAGCCAAAAAAGAAAGCAACATGAATATGGTAATGCACAAAGTCTGTTTTCTATCTCTACATTTACTCTCACTACTACTCTGCCTCCATCCTCTCACCACCGTAGCCGACAACAATTCCACCGGCATTGACCCGTGGTGCGACAAAACTCCATACCCTTATCCATGCAAACGCTACTTCACAAAACACTTTGGTTTTCGACAGCCAACACAAATATCCGAGTTCCGAGTACTCCTCGTGGAAGCAGCCATGGATCGTGCCATATCCGCTCGGGACAAATTGGCTAACTCCAGCAAGAACTGCACCATCGATTGCAAGAAACAAGCCGTCTTGGCAGATTGCCTTGACCTCTATGGAGACACTGTCATGCAGCTTAACCGCACGTTACAAGGCGTGTCTTCAAAACCGGGTCTCGGGAAACGTTGCACTGACTTCGACGCTCAGACGTGGCTAAGCACCGCGCTTACAAACACCGAGACTTGCCTACGAGGCTCCTCCGATCTCAACGTCACAGATTTCATCACACCCATTGTTTCAAACACAAAAATATCCCACCTCATCAGCAACTGCTTAGCCATCAACGGAGCCCTCTTGACCGCCGGAAAAAACGAGAGCATCACCGGTGATTCGAAGGGTTCTCCGACGTGGTTTTCCGGTAAAGAGAGGAGACTTCTCCAATCGCATTCGGTGCGGGCCAACGTCGTAGTGGCCAAAGACGGATCGGGACATTTCAAGACGGTGCAAGCGGCTATTGACTTGGCTGGACGGAGAAAGGTGATGTCAGGGAGGTATGTTATATACGTGAAGAGAGGGATATATCAAGAAAACATAAACGTACGTCTTAACAACGATAACGTAATGTTGGTCGGAGATGGAATGAGATACACCATTATCACCAGTGGTCGAAGTGTTAAAGGAGGTTATACAACTTATAGTTCCGCCACTGCCGGTAATTTTTTTTTTTCACTAATCTTTGTTTTGTTGGCAGCATTATTATGACTATCTAAACTAACGTAACATTCACCATTTACATTTTTTGTTATATTTTTTTCCTGACTATAATCGAACAAATTGGCCAAATTGCGTATGATTTAGGTATCGAGGGACTTCACTTCATAGCCAAAGGCATAGCGTTCCGAAACACGGCTGGTCCGGCAAAGGGGCAGGCCGTGGCACTCCGGTCATCTTCGGACCTTTCAATCTTCTATAGATGCTCAATAGAAGGTTACCAAGACACATTGATGGTCCATTCGCAACGCCAGTTTTACCGCGAGTGCTACATCTATGGAACAGTCGATTTCATCTTTGGAAACGCAGCCGTCGTTCTTCAAAACTGTATTATCCTCCCTCGCCGACCGCTTAAAGGTCAATCCAATGTAACAACTGCGCAAGGTCGTTCTGATCTATTTCAGAACACGGGGATCTCTATCCATAAATCAATAATCCTACCGGCTTCTGATCTAATACCGGTGGTCCGTAGTGTTAAGACATATATGGGCCGACCTTGGATGAAGTACTCGCGTACTGTTGTTCTTAAGACGTATATAGATAGTGTTGTGAGTCCTGTAGGGTGGTCTACATGGACTAAAGGTTCGACATACGGTCTTGACACGCTGTTCTATGCGGAATATAAGAATATCGGACCGGCTTCATCCACGAGGTGGCGTGTCCGTTGGAAAGGGTTTCATGTGTTGAGCAAAGCTTCCGATGCATCTGCTTTCACTGTCGGAAAATTCATCGCCGGTAATTCATGGCTCCCAAGCACCAGCATACCCTTCACTTCCGAACTCTAAAAGGACTTGGTTATAATTTCATGCTTTAATTACAATGATGTAAAATTTAGTAATTCTAAATATAGTTTATATTGCGAAAATGAACCTTTGGCTATGAGCGTTATGAATTCACTTGAGCAAGATCGTGTTGTATATGTGATTGTCTAAGTGGTTTTCTAATAGAAGATTTAATTAAGGACGTTTACGCGTAATAAAGTCGTAACTAGTGGACTTGTTTAAATTATCTGTGTGCTTCTGTTCTTTGTTTCTTTACAGTGATTAATTGCGTGAGTAAGTGTGCATAGGACACTCAAGGGATCACATGGTTTATTTTATATAGTATATTCTTTCGAAGTATTAACTAGAGAAGACGAACATGCCATCTTTCTCGACAAGTTGAATGTTCATAATCAATTGAAAACTATAATGATTTGAAATGTGTATAATTCTAGTAATTGCATTCCCATTCAATAGCTAGAAGCTATAATGGTCTTGGGAGGCTTTTAGATTAAAAATTTGTTAAAAAAACCTCTTATAAGAGTATTGCAAATTTAAAGACTACTATTTATAACATAAGATCGTTTGTGTTCTTTTTAATTTATATTAATTTGTTATATGGACGTACTGTGCATATTTTACGTAAAAAAATGTGAACTAGTCGAAACACTTAAACAACAAATTAAACGATCCAGTCTTGCTGATCATTAATTTAGACAGAGATAAATGTTAACATGTTTTTGCATTGAATTTAGATTTGAGTCTGATAGTTAATATAATATGTTGGTTGACGATATACATAGCATGCATGTGAAGTGAAGGAACAGAGGATAAAAAAGAGTAACTAATTTGTTTATGACTTTTAATTACATCTTGGATTCTATATATATATGTTATTAGTAATCATATTTAATACCTTCAAGTGACGATATTTAATTGTTGTCGGATATTTATAATTTTTATTTTTAGTAATCTTGATCTCGTACGGCATTTTTCTAGGAAACGTAGAATTGTTTAAGAATTTTTAAAACTTAATTACTGATTTTTCAATAGCTTATTTTTTAGTCAAATTACGTACGTAGAAGAAGTAATAATTCAAATTACGAAGAAGTCATAATTTAATAGAGAAATGAACACATAAATTTTTTTAAAAGTTAAATCAGACCATTGTTTAGTAACAACATGCACAATTTTTTACAAGCCAATATTACTAAAAACGAAAAACTTGTTAAAGTATGATGAGTATCTCCTAAAACCCCTCTAAAACAATATCTTTATACTAGAATTAAGTGATAGTATCGTTCACGCAATAAGAAGACAGCAGCCATCGAGCTAGCAAAAGGTAGATCTCATCTCATTCATAACCTCACAATATAAATTTTTGTTTGCTTGTTTTGCTTTAAATGTTAATACGTACACCTCAATATATAATTATAGATTTAAGATATAGATTGGAGACTTGGAGTCATGCATGTTCCCACTCTCTAGTCTCTAGCATTTACTTTCAATTCCACCCTCTCACACCAAAACCACATCAAGATGATGTTACAAAAATTCTCTTCTCAATCTTTACATTTGATATTACTATCACTACTCTGCCTCCGTCCTTTCACCACCGTAGTCGATGGCAATTCCACCAGTGGTCAAGGTGTTGACAGGTGGTGCGACAAAACTCCTTATCCGGATCCATGCAAAAGCTACTTCAAGAACCACAATGGTTTCCGACAGCCGACACAACTATCCGAGTTCCGAGTTATGCTGGTCGAAGCAGCCATGGATCGGGCCGTATCAGCTCGGGACGAGTTGACTAATTCTGGTCGGAACTGCACAGATTGCAAGAAACAAGCCGTTTTGACAGACTGCATTGACCTCTACGGAGACACGATCATGCAACTAAACCGAACGCTCCAGGGCGTGTCTCCAAATGCCGTTGCCGAGAAGAGGTGCAGCGACTTTGATGCGCAGACGTGGCTAAGCACCGCTCTCACAAACACAGAGACTTGCCGACGCGGCTCATCCGATTTCAACGTCTCAGATTTCATCACACCCATCGTTTCAAACACCAAAATCTCTAACCTCATCAGCAACTGCTTAGCCATCAACGGAGCCCTCTTGCCCGCCGGGAACAACGGAACCACCACCAACGCTGGTTTTCCGACGTGGGTTTCCGGTAAAGATAGAAGACTTCTGCGGACCGTTCGAGCCAACCTCGTGGTGGCCAAAGACGGATCGGGACAGTTCACTACGGTGCAAGCGGCTATTGACGTGGCCGGACGAAGAAAGTCGATGTCAGGGAGGTTCGTTATATACGTGAAAAGAGGGATATATCAAGAAAACATAAACGTACGTCTATATAATGATAACATAATGTTGGTCGGAGATGGAATGAGATCCACCATTATCACCGGTGGTCGAAGTGTCAAAGGTGGTTACACCACTTACAATTCCGCTACTGCCGGTAAATAATCTAATCCTTTTTCATTAATTGTTTCTAGTTAGTAGATTGGATCTAATTATAACAAGTTTCTATGTCACTAATAAAAAATTATTCGAATATTCCGTACGATTTGAGTTTTCCAATCGACATAAGTTAAATCATACATTGGGATCGTTACTAGAAATTATATTATATAAAAATAAACGTAACCGTTGTTTTATTCCCCCGCAAAATGAGTAAGCGTTACCATTTGAAATATTGTCATTTTGCTCTCATTGTGAAACAGTTGGCTTACATTGCGTGTGATCCAGGTATTGAGGGACTTCACTTCATAGCAAAAGGCATAGCGTTTCGGAACACAGCTGGTCCGGCAAAGGGACAGGCTGTCGCACTTAGATCATCGTCGGACCTCTCAATCTTCTACAAATGCTCGATTGAAGGATACCAAGACACACTGATGGTTCATTCACAGCGTCAATTTTACCGAGAGTGTTACATCTATGGAACAGTCGATTTCATCTTCGGAAATGCAGCTTCCGTATTCCAAAACTGTCTCATCCTCCCTCGCCGGCCACTCAAAGGTCAAGCCAATGTGATAACCGCACAAGGTCGTGCTGATCCGTTTCAGAACACAGGGATCTCTATCCATAACTCAAGAATCGTACCGGCTCCTGATCTAAAACCAGTGCTCAGTAGCGTTAAGACTTATATGGGCAGGCCTTGGATGAAGTACTCTCGCACCGTAGTTCTTCAGACGTATTTGGATAGTGTTGTGAGTCCAGTCGGGTGGTCTCCGTGGATTGAAGGTTCGGGGTTTGGTTTAGATACTCTGTTCTATGCAGAATATAAGAATACCGGACCAGCTTCATCCACGAGGTGGCGTGTCCGTTGGAAAGGGTTTCATGTGTTGGGTAGAGCTTCCGATGCATCTGCTTTCACTGTCGGGAAGTTCATTGCCGGGACCGCTTGGCTCCCACGCACGGGCATACCCTTCACTTCTGGACTGTAGACTTCTTTCGTTTATCCGTACTTAAATTACAATAAAATAAATTTTACAATCTTTGAATATAAGTAAGTAAGTATGCATATCATGAAACTAAAGTTTTAGCTATAGATGGAAGAACGAGATTTTAAAGACACTGCATGTATCCAGATCACGAGGATAAGGGTAGATATTAATGTAGAATACCCCAAAGGGAAAGCTTTAGTTACAGTTGCGAATAGAGTTGAACAAGGAACATAAACTCCAAATAACCTATAGCTACTAAGAACAAAGCTTTTAGACACAAACCCTCACGAACTAAGGTTGTTTTAGAACAATAAGAAATATAACAATCAATAAAATGAGAGAAACACAACGAACCCAGCAGTTTCGTTATATTCTCCATCTACGTACAGCCCTAACCAATGGGAGATCAAAATACCAGACCAGAGTAGATTTCCAAATGATGCAACAGACTCAGAAAAAGGACCAAAACGACGCCAGCAACAAAACCATCATCATGCTGAAAATTAGTCTCAACGGTCCATTTAGTATTAGTTTTGCAGCAGCGCTGTGATCTTGTTTCCTGCAGGAAAAAAAAAAAAAGAAGAGTTACTTAGTTTTTTTTTTTTTACATAATCTGAAGGAGATAGTGAAGTTTCTGATCCTTACTTTTGCAAGCTCTGAAGAGCACCACAATACAGAACATTTTCAGGCGGATCCATTTCCGTACTTCCATTTTCCTCGGGGTTTACAATTCGCATGTATGTTTCTTGGCCAAGATACCATCTGTCAAGATTCTCAACTCGGATATTCCAAACTCCAACATTATCAAGGGAAACAAGCACAGCAGTCCATGCCCCTGGATAAACCTGAAGCAAACAGTAAAACAAAAAATATCCCAATAACGTAAACTGCTGACCAATATGTGTACAGAGACAGATTGCAAATGAGAAACTACCTCAATCGTGCTTCGTGCTATTGCATCCCAGTTGTTATATGAACCTTTTCTGTCTTCTGACCATATGCCAAAGTCCATCCTGGAATTCCAAAAATTGAAAATCCACATTAGAGCAGTTAAACTGATAGAAAATGTAGAACATGTACCCAGGAGTGGCATGATTTACTTACGCAACCACATAAAACGAATATCCATCAATATGGAAGCTCTGTATCTTGGTATCATTGTTCTGGAAGATAATTTGTATAAAGCCCTTGTATGTCGCGTTGATGATAGACTTGTCGAGACGTGGATGTCTATCATCAAGTGGTCTGTCTGGGAAATCTAACTTATAATCTCCTTTCACTTTATGCTGATCTGCAAGCCTCATGGGGGTGCTTGGATTGACAAATGAAATCCCATTAAGGGTAGCACGAACTGTACCATTGATTTCTGTTGGAGGCAAACTTCGTAAGATGTATGTGCTTGTGATATTTATCTGTCCGTAGTGAAATGATCCTTGCGGATTTGGACGAGCTCCACCTGCAGATGTGTTTTGCCTGCATATGAAAAGAATGAGCATTACAGTTACATAGCTACAGGTTAAATTCAAACATCCACTTGTTGAAGAGTTTTATAGACATACTTTATGGCTCTTGGTTGGTTCATGGCGGACCAAGGGTGAGAAACATCAGTTGCGGGAACTGGCAAAGGACCAGACGCAGGTCCTTTGGAATTGGAATAATGGAGAATGCCAACACCGGTGACTCTTTGCCACACTGTTTCATTAACAAATCTAGCACTCGCCACAATGTAGTAATCGCTTGTAGCGTTTTGGTCCATGGTGACCAAAAAAGAGTAAGACTGTCCCACGTGAATATCGAAATCGGTGAAGTTCATTTGGGAGGTGTAGCGACCCTCAGTTTCAATCAGGAGCATTTTGTGGTTCTGGATCCTGAAGTTCAGGCTTGTCGAGATACCAACATTGTGAACACGGATCCTGTATGTTTTCCCTGCAAAATGTAACTCGAATACTGTAAGAGGGAATAAATCTCAAAGCCAACTTTGATTTGCAATGAAATGACAGCAAAAATAGCTAAAGCTGGAGATCTAATGCACACAACTCCTCAACCAAAATTTGATTAGGATGCAAATGGGAACAGAATGGAAGCAAAATTAGAATACAACTCTCAAAATGTTACCTGGATCAACATTAATAGTCTCATATACAATGCCATCAGGGACACTGCTATTGTACTTGTAAGGACCCTTCCCATTGATGAGGACTCCATCTGGCATCCCAAGTTCTTTACCAGAGTCAAGTATACTCCTTAATGCCTAAAAGAAAGCAGAGTTTCAAAGATGCTGAGACGACATTGAAACTTATAATCAAAAGAAAATAGACTCCAACAGACCGCAGTGCACTTACAGTATGGTTCTGAGTATACCAATCACCAATAATGAAGATGATTTCTCCATCAGGCAGTAGAATTCTTCAGAAATCCCCATTTCTTTGAAATATTCAACATATGGTTTGTGAACTGGATTATTCCGGGGTATGTTTGAAGCATCCGTTATAAATACTTCCAATCTGATCTTTCACCTGAAAATCATAAGTGTAGTTCCATTTCGGAGGAATTGGACAGTTTGTTCCAAGAACACCATCTTGCCACGAGTTACGCCTCATCTGAACACCAGGCCTACCAAAATTTTCAAAGAAATGTCAGGAATCACACAAAAAGTCTAAACTCTAGAGAAGTTAAAAATAAACTGCCAAGTATGTGTAAAGGATCATCACCAAGTGAGTAAAAGAGGCTCATCCAAATGATTGATAACGTTAACATCAACATTGTAGTTCGTTGTAGCATTAATCACAGGACCTGGAAATTTCCCATTGACGGCTATAACCTACAAAGGAACAATCCAATCAGATACAACATAAATCGTGTTTGAAAAACCACAGAGCTTGTAAAAAGATTTCAGTATAATACATTTTCATAAACCCCAAATCAAAATCTAAAGATAAGAACAGTTCGTTTCCTTTGATCAAACAACACAACAAGAGACACGTCCTGTAACGTTTTTATATATATGATGAAATATACTGAAAAAGAAGCAAATCATCATCACCCACTCGCAAAAAAAAACCCCAAGTAAACCAACCACCTCCGACGAACCGTAATGTTAGATCCAGAGCTACAACTAAGATACGAGTTTTAGCAAAATCAAGGACACAAAATCACTAGATTAACACCTAAAACGATCAGATTACGTCAAGATAAACCTCAATTTCACATGAAAAAAAAAGAAGAGAGGGTTTAGGTAGCAAAAACAAAAGTCGAAAGGAGACCTGTTGAGGAACACCGAGAGGAGAAGCGGTGATGTACGAAACAATGAAATCGTAAGAGATGTAAGGATCACCAGCGAGAGAGAAGCCAAAGAGATGAGCGAAGGAGAAGAACACGAAACCGAAAACGAAAACGAAACACCGCGAGAAAAGTTTAGTAGCCGCCATTTTGTAAAATCTCAGTGATTGATTCTTCGGAGATGACCTTCGGTTACAGAAACGACATTACCTGAGCATAAAAACAAAAAAAATCGAAGAAGCAAGAGGAGGAAGACGAAGAGTGTGTAAAAAATGTGTGTGTGGGTTTTTGAAACTTCTCTGACAAAGAGAGAGGTTGAAGAATAAAAAATAATTAATTAATGTTGTGAACAAACAAAAGACAAACTCATAAATAAAGAAGAGGATTTTCGTTGATGATGATGATACACTAATCCCTAAAAGCGCGTATAAAACTTATTACGGGTTACCGAAGTAACCGGTTCGTCTAAACTGTAATTAATCGTGTAAAAAAGGTTAAAATAGATATGTGTTTATATATAAGTGGATGTGAATATATTTACTTACTCGATTAGAGAAGGATTCTCATTTTGCTTTCTAATTTGTATTGATCACCTACCATTTAATGATGTGTAAAATGTGATTACTTGAGAAAGATTCCATAAAAGATGTGATTTTTTTTATTTAGTGTTTTTTGGTAAATAATGTGTGGTATGATTGTGTTCTGCGACATTGGGTTATAAATGTTTGTAGATTTTCCACTTAATTAGTGTTTTTTTTTTGTTTCCTTCTTCTTTTTCTAATCTATTGATACGCTTCTTTCTTTTTATAAGAAAAAAAAAAAAGATATTCTTGCAATTATGTTTTGGGATTAGGGGAGGATCCTACGACACTAACAAAAAGTCATACGACACACCTAACTCATATGTATATTTGTGTAACCTTTAACAAAACAAAATTATTTCTAACATTACTTATAATATTATTTTACGGTTTTCCAGTATAAATTTAATAAAATTCTTTTCAAATCTATATCTGTAATTCAAAATTTCCTAATTTAAACATATCAAACAAGATTACATTTGTAATGTGTGAGTTGTAATTAGTATATATATTTTATTTTCACTATTATTTTTTAATTTGATTTTTATTTGTTTCTGTAAAGTTTTTAATTAATTATTCCAAAAACTTTTATGTACTACGTATTGTTATTAGTTTATTATTACAAACAAATTTATATATGAACTATTTATTAGTTCATTATTATACAAAGCTTTGTATTCATGCATGCTATTATTTGCTCTGTAAATTCCGCCAAGAGTATTTTTATGGTAGTGTATATCTAAAAAGGCTGTAACGTACATATATGGAACTTTAACAATTTTAGAAATTGATTTCCTAATAAAATACTTTCCTTAAGTTATATTACGCTAGCCACTTTGGTATCTATGCTAGGTACTTTGGACACCCATTTCTCTCATATATCGAACTCCGTTTTTGACATTTTAAAAACACGACTATGTAGTGCTCGCTATGTGTCTAAGAACCGGTCATTCGGATGAACATTTTCACCGGAAAATCCACTGGAAAGTGATCAAAATCACTTTGTCAAAAACAAGTTCCAACATTAAATGGGTAGCTAAAGGTACATTATATTGCAGAAGAAACTTCCTTAGTCCTTGCCTAAAAACGTGACATATGAACCAAGCGTGAACTCAGCCGCATAGTAACTAGTAACCAAACCAAATCACGTACGCATGAGAAATGTTAACAAAGATACACATACATATAAAGTTGAATGGTACAATTTTGCCTCGTCCAATATTTGTTTGTCCACGAGCTTTTATTTTAATGCATACACAAGACATAAAAGATGAAATTATGAGGAGAGGGACTTATCAGTAAAGAACCGAGCATGAACCCTTTTCTCTAAAATCCCCAAGGCCTCGGAAGATTTGATGCAAATGGGTGTCTTGTATTGAGTCGAGGAAGCTCCTTGACTGATGAAAAACTCCATGACAGCATCGAAAGATCCTTGTTGCACCACTCTTATCTCGAGCGCTCCAATGGATCCCTCTCTACTTCTATAATCTCTATAAAAACTGTTTAGTGATTCCTCCACCACATAACAACATTCTACTAAAACTTTGTTATCAAGTTGATCAGCAATGTCGTTGTTGTATTTGGCTTTGAGTTCCCAGTAAAGAACATAGTGACCTGGTGAAGTAGAAATATCCGCATAGCTTGTGAAGTCCATTAGCATCAAATCTGATGATTCAAGAACCACTTTTGCATGTGTCACCGCATTTAAAAGGTCTGCATCTGTTGTTACCTCCATATTAACACTTAGCGTCAAATTGCCTCTACGTACAAATCTAAACTGAGGTGCATTGTTGTAAAATCCAGTAACCTGAAGAATATCACCCATCTTATATCTGTGTAGACCTAGTAAAAAAAATCACAATGTTAATTTATTAGTTGAGAATATATGTATACACAAACATTTGAAGTAAAGGTTTAAGTTTAACTCACCAGAATGATTTGTGACCAAGGGTTCGTAGTAGCAACCTAACTTGACATCCACGAGATCAACAATTTCGACTTTGTGATCGCCCGCGTCAACAAGTAGGAACTCAAAATATGAAAAGTTTGGCATAAATGTGTATGAGACATCTTTAGGTTTGCAAAGAGGACTCATATTAATCCCAAACATAGTTTCGGAAGATACATAACTAGACGAAATCAATGGCAACTTGTTGGAGTAAAACTCCAATGTTGGGATGTGTTGAGCCATTTGACCAGTTGCAATGCTTTCAATAAACTTGGTTTTAGGCCAAAGTCTTGGGATTATACCTTCCCAAGATTTCTTGTTGCACTCGTTTTCTATGAGATCGGCCAATTCAGGATTAGGTTCTCCAAGGATCTTTGAAACACTTTCCCTACAACTAGTATCAGTGATCCACTCACTAAGATGACCATAACGGATATTAGTGCAAATTTCTTTCCAAAAGTTCTCAAGAAATATGATTGCTCGGAGCAAAATTGAAACAAAGGCGGCACCAACCTTGACAACCTCGTTTCTTTGAACAATGCCACATAGAAGATGACAGTACAAAGTCTGATTGGTGTCTGGACACAATATGACTTCGTCAGGACTTGTGAATGACCAATGCCAACATGATGGTCGGTTCTTGAAATAATCACTCTTGAAGAAGCTCGTTGTCGCAGCTGCTGATGGCAAACCAGAAGGAGTTGTGTTCTCTGGTGTACAAAAGTTAAACACCATTCCCTTCCCATGCTCAAGACCATCTATATGCCTATGAAAGAAAAAAACAAAGATACCCTCATTCACTTAATTACAAATATTATAAAATGTTGTATTTTAAAAACCACTATTGTGTTATATATCATTACTTGCTTATAACGAGCGAACGGTAACAATAGATGAATTTGAGGTTTTCCAAGTACTTGTTGGTACGAGGAAACATCTTCCTTTTAACTCCGGACGTTCCGGAACTACAGTAAAAATCAACCATTAAGAACATCATCTCTTGAGTATTGAGTATCCACGGATAAGGTTGATTTTCACAATTTGTAAAAATTAAATTAAGCCAAGAAATGTAAATTATGAACCTTAGAAGGAATCCTGTGATGGGATTGCCAGAAATAATATCAGAGGACTCTCCATTCGCGAGACGGTCGATAAAAGGCTTCACATCCTCGTAGGTCACCACGGGAACGTTCTTCTTGAAAAGCTCTTTATCAGAGCTCCCATGGAGAAAACGTTCAAGATACTCGGTGTTAGCATTAAGTGTGAGTATCTCCTCTAATACATTGTCTTGTATTTGCTTCACATTGGACGTCAAGTCCTCCAAAGTCTTTTCGTCTGATCCCTTAATGAGATCAGAGCATAAACTCATATTTGGCTGTCTTTTATTATTTCACTTGAGATCAAGAATTGGACACTTGGCTCTTTATATAGCAATAATGGGGTCATACCATAAACACTAGCATATTGCTACTAATTAATATCTATTGAGTCCTGCGTCCTGACTATTACTATTCTATTAAATACTTCTTTTTCTTTTATTTTTGTTTCCAATTTTATTGGGTGATTCTGTGCCATATAGATAACGAATAAAATACGTCTTTCAAGTTCAACATAGAACAATGAACACATGTCTATTACTACGAGACACTCATACCAATTATAAGCATATTCCAATGTTGTTATAAAAATATCTAACTACAACAAAAAGAATAGTATCTCTCAACAGGGGGAGATCAATTTTATTTGTTTGACTAAACTCTAGTCACTACTCACTAGAGTATACTATACTAGTTCGATCTTTGGGAAACATGTGAAACGATCAAGAAATACGGTAAGTTACCACAAGTGATTTATGTTTGTAACAAAAATATAAATGTGTGTGAGGGTATATCGTACATATCTTCACTGATAAATGTGTCTGAGATAATATATAGTGAACCAAAAATAATTGTGTTTGAGAGTAAATCCTACGAGTCTCAATTCAATCTCTTCAAACCTTCTTTAAGTTCTACTCTTTATTCTTCTTTCAGTGTATTTAAAAAAAAAAAACTGAAACACTCACTGCAAAATTAAACAGTTTTATGCATGGTTGAATACAATTTACATTCAATTCAATTCAAAAAAATAAAAATTAATCAAGTTCCCATGCACCTATGACCTACCTTTACGTAAAACGCACGCTATTCCAACTCACGTTTCACATGTTACTAGACTTGGTTATTTGAAACTTATGCAGTTTTCCATGTAAGAAACATCGGAAGTATGAAAAATGGAGCTGCACATCAATAAGCATACTATTAATTAGAGTTATTATAAGTAATACAAGTAGCAATTATTTACTAGTATCAAACAATGTCATAAAAATTGTAATTTAAAAAAAAAAAATATGTGTGCATAACCTTAAACATGAAACTTGCAGAGTAGAAATAGGAGACTAATAGGAGTGCTTTATCAGTTTATACGGAAATGCATTTACGGTTTACCTCAGATGGGTCACGAAGCGAGTAAAAGGCAATGCTTTACGTATTTGGGCACATCAGAGACTAATATATATCTTATAACCATGATCCGGTCCATCTCTTAAACCTGACTTCACTTGCAACTTAAGTCAAAACTATTTATTGACGAAGTGTTTTAGCTAAATGTGTAGATAATCAAAGGTAAACCTTAAATGCATTATGCATCTTCGTGTTTTCGACTGTTCCCTCATCCCCAATATAGATTGGAAAGTACATCCTCAGGCCTGAAATAATATTTCATAGATCGATTAGCCAAACTAAACCTACCTTCACAACATTTTTTTTTTTACGTAATAAAGTTCACTCAATCTAAGAAACTCATACACCTGAATGAAAAAATGGTTCGTTATACCACACAAGCTAGCTAGAAAATGTTCTAGCTAGATCATGAAGAAAATGAAACACATCAACCTTATCACGCTTCGTCCACTAGTCGTGGCGGTTGGGGAAGTAAGTTGTCAAATACGTTGTACTCTCTCAGAAGGACCTTAAATAATTAAAAATTATGTTGGACCAACTTAAAGAAAGACTTATAACATTTCAAGAAGAGTCAAATACAAATTTTCAACAAAGCAAAAACAAGAGGTCCATAGCTAATCCGCGTGAACTTATTATATTTCTAATCTAAGGAAACGACACTGAAATTCACATCGCAGTTATGGGTTCGTTTCTCTCTCTATATATATATTCATTCAAGCATTCACATTTTACAACCTATCATACTTTAAAAATAAGTATACCCCAAAATATATACTTCAAAATATGTATAAGGTTGTTTGCTTACTAGCTTTGAGTTTCCTGCTGCTCTTTGGTTTACCAAACACAGCAGAGGCTCGAGTACTACTACCATACGAATCTCCAAACCCCAGTAAGTGTTTTTATATGCTCAGTTGGTTTTAAGATTTGTTGTAATTCAATTTTTGGATTTACAAAATAGAAAAATTGAATGGAAACCCATTAGTAGTTTTGGTATATTTTTGATTTCAATTCCAAATGTAGCAAAACATAGCCTCAAATAACAGAATATTAAAAAAAAAATGAATTAACTCTTTTTAGCAGTTTGATTTTAAAATATGCATGCTAGCATATGCCCACACAAAAAAAAAAGGAGTGAAACTTTTTTAGTACTGGTTTTATTTTACAGTTTTTGTTAAATTTGGATTGGTTCTACTACAACTACATTTGTATATATATATATTAAAATTGTTGATTTCTTGTTTTTGGGAAGAAATAGGAGAAGGGGTTTGGGATCAAAAGATGATAAAAGAGATAAAGGCTGAGGTAGATAGAAGTTGTTCATCTCGTGCAGGTGGAAGAGGGCCACCCAATAGACCAGAATCACATATACCAGGCTCCCCAAAACGATGTAATCCTTAGCGATCATATTAGTAGCTAAGTATATATAGTGCACTTTTAATTTGTCCTAAACTGTAATATCTTTTTTCTTTTACGTTATCAATCTTCTCCAAACATAAGAAGGTAGTCGTTTATTTTTTGGTTCTAGGTCTTGAATATCATACATTTGTAGTAGCTAGACCACTTGGTATGTGAGACTTTAAGTGAACTAGAGCAATATGTCCTATGGGTTTTTATGAAATTGGGATCACTAGCCAACTCATACATAAAGCAAACAAATAGATAAGGAGGATAAAAAAAAAACACTAACAGATACAATAGGCAAGAAAGTGGTAAAGGTAAGAAACAAGACAAATGAGATTTAACATTATTTGAAAAGCAACGAATCACTTGTAGAAAACATTGAACTTGTAACGTTCCGTGAGCACAAAATTTTTGATTGAGAAGAATGTGAACGTTATGTGGCACTTTTGTCCTAAAAAAAACATGAAACCAAGATGAGACAAAGTGATTTTGAATTAATTCGGACATGAAGATCAAAGATAAAAAGAAGGATTTACAGTTATAGAAGATAAAGAAATTGATCGGAAAAAAAAGATCTCCGGCATGTTTGGAAAAGCCTTCATATGATCTCTCCTCCGATACCGTTAAGATAAAAATCTCAACGGTATTTGTATAAAGCCGAAAGTAACAATAATAATCCTCTAACTTCTTCCATATTTGTAAATCATATATATATATTAACGTTAACACTTTCTTCTACATCTTCTTCTTCTTCTACTACTTAACCCATTGATCTCTTCCATGTCACCAATGATTTCAGAAACTCCATCACCTGGTAGATAAATCACAAACAGATCAAACTCATGACATCGGGAAGCCGTAGCTTAAGTATTCAGTAGAGTGATTTATTAGTTTACCTCAGACGGGTCACGAAGTGAGTAAAAGGCATTACTGTCTTTGGGCACAGCAGAGACTAATATACCATAACCGTGATTCGGTCCATCTCGTAGTACCTTGAATGCATCTTCGTCTGTTCGATCATCCCCAACATATATTGGAAGAACATCCTCACAGTTACTTAGGCCTGAAAATTATGTTTCAGAGTCAATGATCCAAACCAAGATTTTATAACAGAACAGAAGCAGAGGAGATAGATTTTTATTTTAACTACCAACCAAGAGATTCGAGTAGAAATGTCACAGCTTTCCCTTTGTTCCAGTCAATCACTGGTCGGATCTCTAAAACCTTTTTGGCAGCAACACAAACCAACAAAGAAACAATAATCAACATTGAGACAACTTTGAACTTGTTTTTCTTGAAATTTATAACAGAAATGAGATGTTTTACCTTCCGACCGTGTGTTAGCCGTAGTTTTGGATATGTTCTGATGACATCATCAACACACTGTGCAACCAATCCCCAATTCTGTAACAAATAGAAACTTTTTAAGGAGAAGTGAATTGGTTTAAAGGAACCAAACTGGTTGTTGAATAGAGGGAAATTCAAACCTGTTCTTCTACATTGCGGTAATGGACAGAGATGCAGAACTTGTTGTCTTCTACTTTGACCCCTTTGATATCGTTTGTACTCTCTATAAGAGAACAAAGCACCTGAAAAGACAATTTCATTCAACAATCAAAAATGCTATTACGAAAGCTATATTTATACATTAAAAGATGTCTTCTAAATACTTTATCGATCATCGGTAGAAACTCGCTAGCAGGCTGAAATAGATTTACATCTTTCCCCTGAAATTGCCAAAATCACATATCAAGACTCTGATGTAGCATACAGATATTGCAGAAAACAAACAGAAGGCAAGAAAATAAACCTTTTCGTTGACTGATACAGTACGGCTATGTTCATGGTTCAAAGATTCTCCTGCGGGACTCATGATGTCCATCCCGTGGCTTCCGGCATAATAAAGTTCACTCAAATTAACAAACTCATACACCTGAAGCAAAATGGATCATTATAGCACTCGACCATACAAGAAACTGTTCTTGATGATGAAAATGTAACAAGTAAACATTAACCTTATCACGGCTTCTTCCACTAATGATCGCAGTTGGAAAGTACTTGGCAACGTTTTGCACTGCACTACGCATCTTAACATGTAAAACGGCGTAAACCATATCATTAATTAGGAAGATGAAGTACAATTTATATCTGTTTTAGCAATTGAGTTGAATAGGGAGAAGCTAAACACTTACAGCACTTGACATGTAAGCACAATCAGGTTCCTCAACTATAGGCGAAAGTGTCCCGTCATAATCAAGAAACAGTGCTATTCTTTTACCCTTTGCAAAACTCATGATTTTCTCAAAAGAAGTAAGAGCTGATGGATACTTGAGCTGCTAAAACATGATTACAAGACAAAAAGAAGATTAGCAAGATCAAAATAACGACTCAATGTTCAGGAAAAAAAAGAAGAGGACAGTAAAGGACAAACCATCCACTCGCGATAAGTCATATCTGTGGCATCACTGCTAAAGTTGTCTTTGTTAACTAGAGACGGAGGAGGAGAAGAAGATTTCATTGCATCAAGCCAACCATTAGACTTAACATCATCAAGGACTCCAGTTTTCTTTCTAGGAACGGTTAGCAGAAGGTTACTGTTCGGTGACAGCGCGGCTGCTGAAGAGTAAGGGAGTCTGTTCTGACGAATGGTTAACCTTGCATTGCTTATCGGTGGAGAATCAGTCATTACAGGAGATGAGTGACCAGATTTTATGTCCATAACAACACCAGATGTTACTAGCAAACTGTCGAAGTTTCTCAGAGGACTCTTGGACAGAAGAAGCTCTACAACTTCACTTCTATACTCGTATTTTCAAAGAATCCTCTTCCTCAGAGAAACTTGGAGTGGACCCTGAAATGTAGATGACAAGCAAGAAACAGAACCAGTTAAGACAAAAGCAAAGAAATAAGTGTGATCACTATAGTTCTCTGAAGCTATAACAAGAAAACATTGGATACCAAAGATACACATTGACCTGAAGCTATTATCCAATGAGAAACAAACAAAATGTTTGTAACATTTCTTTGTCTTTATTTTGCTGACAGTTGTACGAAAGGGTAATCAAGAAAACACATTATTCATGAAATGACTTTACTTTGTAATATACAAGAGTATATTGCCAGAGAGATCGCATTATGGAAACCTCTATCAATCAATTCAAGGGAACAAAGTTTTGGGATTATTTCTCCAAATAGAGTTTCTGACTGATACAAAAACTCTCTCATCTTTCACAATTTTGACCAACCAACAATCTACAGCCAAAATATCTAAATCCCCAAAATTTCAATCATCAGATACAAATAATGATAGATTTCTTAAAACATGTGGTTGTGCAGCAGAAGCATTGAACTACCTGTTGTAAAACTACATACAGATTTTTTGAAAAGAAGTAAAAATTGAATACGCTAACGCCCACTAATACACAAAGTAAGGCACATCAGAATATTTTGTATGTTATCGAAGGAAACATAAGTTTTATAAACCAAAAGTTTTTAAGTAAAACACACTTGCAGAATAGACAAACTAAAACATATTAGACCCACCACCAATTTTTCAAATGTGTTGCTCTTAAAGCTTGACAAATCATTGTCACTCTCATAAAATCCAAACACAAAAAGAAACAAAGTACCAAATTCCTAAAACCCAGAAAACAAAAATCCTAAAAAAACTGGTTCAGCCATTTAATCCCCAATAAAAGCTATAAACCCTTTTGCCAAAAAAAAAAAACTGAAAACTTCCAGCTCATAACGAAAGAACAGAGGAAGAGATTTGTAAAAATGGCTACTTTATACAACAAAACGTGATAAAAGACGAAACTTTGAGTTAATAAATATTACCTGAGAGAAATGCAGATACAAGTTTCGAAAACTGAAACCGGAAACGAAGGAAGATTTTTCAAAGACAAATACTTTTTAAAAAAAAATCTTCTTCTTCTTCTCTTTCTCTAGCGGTTTCTCGGCAACCAAATAAGGACACAGAAAACAAATGGGAAGAAGATGATTTGCCAAAAAGAACAAACTGTGAATTAGTGCCCGAGAAAATCGCAGAGAAACTATCCCCAAAATATATAAAAAGTCCAAAAAAATTTCTGATATTAGCGAAAAAAAATACTATAAAAATATTTGATTTTGGGAAGGCCTTAAAAAAAAAAAAGCCGAACGAAATAGACCAAAGAAATTATAAAGTTCAATTTTTTAATATTTCTTTCTCTCCCGACGGTTGTTGTTGACTCGCCAGAAAATTTTCTAAAAAAACAGGTGACGTGTACGTGTATTAGACGGAACCAATGAAACCCGCGCGTGGGAGTTACGTAATACGTTTTAGCGAGTATAGTTACGCCGTGATTTTTATTATATTAAAAAAAATTAAAGAGTGTCTTCGCACGCTGTGTGGTGGTTGGTTTGTAATTAATTAAGTTAACTAAAGAAGATTAAAATTAACGTGCTTAATTAATTAATTTAAGCATGGGTTTACTAATAATAATTAGGTTTAGTTCCAAAAAAACCGTCGATGCATAAGTGGGATCTAGAACTAGGACGTTAGACACGTGGCATATGGGCGAGTGTGATAAGTCGGAGTCAGATCTGACGTGGATAAGTCGGAAATGTGGGGGGTTGGTTGGTTTGGTCCCGCCACCGTGAGATGGTGCGGTCGCTCTCGCTCACAGCTGGTTGAAGGATTAGGTCGGTGACGGTTTTTTATTTTTATTTTCTTTTAGTATTATTATTATTATTATTATACTATTTATATAAATAGTAATAAAAGTCATTTTCTTCTCGTGGAGCGACATGGGATCCACGTGGATCGTTCAGCGATATGTAATTCTGACCATACGATTTCGCTTACGTGGCGGAGATTTTGTGGCCATACGATCATTGAGCTCCATGGGGGATAAGTGAAGGTCATTTTTTTATTTTTTTAACTAAGAATGACAGAATATAATAATTGATAATGAAGTTGTTTAGGGTTTTAATCAAGATTTTAAACTTTACTTTTGGTTCTGTGGTAAAAAAGAAAAAATGGTATAGAAGCAAAATTAACAATTCGAATTGATCAAGACACTAAAGCAATTAGTAGGATTATTTTAAAAACGTTAAATTTTTTACTTATCGTGACTATCGCATCTCTATTGCTTGATTAGCGTTTTGAATACTTAATTGTGGAAGATCATCAAATATGTTGGATTACGTTGTGCACTAATATAATTAACTTCATTAATAGATGAAAGGCTTGTTAGAAATGCTATAGAAGTAAGTAATGTAATTGTTTGAAACAAAAAATGAACTTTAAGAATAATTCATGACTTACTAATTACACTATCAGGAAAAATTCAATATGAAAAATATATTTGTAACACTTATAAATCACACTCACTCGTAGATAAAACAAAACAATCTCAGTCTGTCGAAATCAAATACTTGAATGATGTGTGGTCACAAATAAACATTAAGTGGGTGTTATTGGATACTGGATTTTAATAGAGTCTAACTCTAAACCAAATCTAGTGTTATTTAATAAATGATTTTAAATCCTTTACTTAAATCAAGTGTTATTGGTTCTTATAATTATAGAATCTTCATTAAAAGAGTTTAAAATCAAGTGTTATTGGTTCTCATATTTACATTGTCTTTATCAAAAGAGTTTTAAATCAAGTGTTATTGGTTCTCATACTTATAATTATTAATCAAAGTCTTATGTTATTCAAGTTTGGTGGATTTTCACAAATGATATCATTTGAAAGGATTTAAAATGAACATGAAACTGATTTCATATGTAAATTATGTCAATCCAAAAACCAACCTTCTACGTGAGATTTCACAATCAAATAAACAAAAGTTTCACCCTATCACTCAACGTAATACATATAACTCATCCACCCAACATTTTTCTCTCTTCCTCATTTTCTTTTACGTAGTAGTGTGTCCGTTACAACAAAAATACACACTACGTTCCTCATTTTCCACCCAAAATGAATATGGTTGCTGTGTGATTCATTTTCGTCACTTTGTTTTTATACTAATTAATTTTCACCTTAAAAAAATATGCTAGAACTTCAAAACAGAAAATGAGAAAAAAAATGTGATAATAAAAAGTTTGGTAGAATTTCATTGAAATTGTGAAAATCATTTGTTATAGAATTCAATTCTATTGTTCAAAACAAAGGATATCATTTGTCATTGTAGAAATACACTTCCACGGATTTGTTAAAATGAATTATAATTCAGTTTAAATGAACCCATATTTTAAAAGTCTTATGATTTTTAAAATCTAATGGAGTTGAATTTAACTTATACAACCAATAACACCCCCTAAAAGACATATTATTTGATGAGTGTAAAGAATAATCAGTTGAACCAGTAAAAAGTATGGTTGTTAACGTGTTAATTACTTACTTACTAGTCTTAATTACTTGACCAAATTTGATGATGATGATATGTGTATGAACAAAAAGAACAACACAAAATGAAATAAGAGAAAAGTCGGGTCAACTGACGTAGAGAGGGCTCAGTGTAATATTATATATTTACAAATTACAAAGAAGAAGACGGTCAAAGATTCTGACAAGAAGACGACAAATTAGAGGAACCAATTTGGAAGTGGAAAACGATAGACTGTAAAAAAAAAAAAAAAAAAAAAAAGAGATTTGGCTTTTCGAGGTTGTGTAAGGGTTTCTTTCGATTGATTTACCAATTGAGGGAAGGTCGTAGGACCACTTTCACAGTTGGGGATTCTCAACTCATTTGCTTCCTACTTCCATCTCTTAATTTTTGTTTAGTAATGACGACATTATTATGCTACACAATTAGTATTTGTTTAATGGTTTATTATAGTAAATTGGGAAGAAGATCTTTTGGAAATTGAAATTTGTAGCAGTCAGAATCTTCTCTCGTTTGACGCCGCTGTTTCTGCTCTCTTCTCCCTTTGACCATCCCCCTCTCATGCCTCAACTCAACTACTCTCTTTTTTTCTTCTTGTATTTGTTTAGTTTCATAATCTTTTTACAAGTTAATTTTCACAATTGTTATTTTGTTAATAATCGTTTTTTCTATGGTGTAGAACTATTAATACTTAACATGATTATAACCTATAAAATAACCAAAAAGTTAATTAACTTGAACATCGAAATGTATAATACTTGAAAGAGACTTTGGTCCACGCAAAAAAAAAAAAACAATCATATACAAAATGCCACATAATCATGTAAGTATTCAATTCGCATTTCTATCCTCACATTCTTGTGCAGGCAATGTAAGGTCTCCTTAATTATTCTTAATCTTTGAGTGCTACATATTTTGACTAAGTTAACAAAAGTGGTTTTTGAACTGATTTTACGACGTTTTATTTAAAATTTTACATAATGTGTGTTATTTTAATGTAATAAACATCCAATTTATTATCTATCAAAGTTTTTTATACAGTTTACTTGTATTATTAAAATGCTATTTTCTCGAATGTATTTATACTTTCATCATATCACTGTGAGTTTAGTTATTTTATTTCGTTCCTAACGGAAAGTGACAGGACATGATATTAGATCATTCACGTTGTGAAGTGAAAATATAATCTGAAAACAGGAAACAAAACTGTAACTGAGCCAAAATTGGGCTTTAAACCTGTAAAAGGCCCCAAATAGTCAAATTTTGTGATTGTTTCAGCAGATAATAGACTCTTTTGGGAAAACTTACTCAAAATAGATAGAATTTGTCAGGGAAACATGAACCTATACTTCAAAAAAGAGTTCCAACATCTTGGAAACGTATTAAGAAAATTGTTAAAGGACCTATTTACTCTCTCACATACAAAAACACTCCTAAAGATGAAAAAAACTACAAGAGAGAGAGAGGTTTCAGTTATGACGCGGAGGCCGCGTGGACGGCTTCGGATAATCTGCGAAGAAGAGTGGCGGCCGATGATGGCGGTGCTTCACTGCACGCGGCACAAACCTAGAAACCTTTACCGGTTCTTTAGGTGTCAAACCAGAGACAACATTTTGATCCTAAAACACAGGAAAACAAAAAGAAGCCGTTAGTTTTGAGAAGGTGAGAGACAGATTCAGGTAATACGGAGAACATGAAAAGCTGTGAACCTTGGCAGTGATGTGAACATTGTCGAGGTGACGAGAATCGGAAAGATGCAAGAGCAGAAACAAAAGAAGGATTGAAGCAGCATGAATTGAACTCATTGGTCACACAACAGAAATAGTTCTCAAGGGTTAACGACAATAAGGGTTATAGAACGTAAAAGCACTTACTAGGTAGTAGACACTATATAATAAGAGCCAGTTCACACATAAGTATTTGAAAGTAAGAAAAAGAACACACAAAAAACAGGAATAAATAAGTGTTTTTTCTTATCAATCCAGATGAATGTGCTGGAAAAGCTCATAGGAGAAGCCGAAGATGAGTCAAAAAAGAAACAACAAAAGGAAAAAGACATATAAACCTCGGTGAAAAACGAGCGATTTACTACTTCTTGTCTCCACAACATCTTATTTGAGACCAATCCCCAAAACTTACCGACCACCACGGTAAATATTCTATTAAGAAAATGCAAGCTAGTTCCGAATTGTATCATTATTATATAATATGCGAAAAACTTAAAGCACTTTTTGAAGGCATTATTATAATTTACCTTAATGCTTTTGTCTGCCTCGAGAATGGTTTGGAGGTTGACGATGACTGTTAACACCACTTTTTGAGCTTTGACGCAATCTCCGAGACATCTTGTCTTCAAAAAGTCCTCTTGAATTGCCCAAATCCTGCCTGTTTCTAAAACAAATAACACATGTTAGTTCAAAGTAAAAGAGCTTCAAGAACCAAGAACCCAACATCTGGACCAAGAATGTTCCCTGAGGGATTAGAATGTCTTTCCTCTGTTCCAAGAAGCCATGAAACCTGCACATTCAAGCTCAAGAAACCGGTCTAGTGTAGACAGGAGGACCCAGCTTTAAGGAAACAGTTGAGCAATTGCTGATACCACAGAAAATCTATTGGATCAATAACAATACATTCTGTGGTTTGCTTCTATTTTTTATTGTAATATTACATGCTATTATACAACTGGAGGTAGCATCAGTCCAGAAATGCATTCACACAGACTGGTTACTAACTCCAGAAAACGAAACCTCCAACAAAATAATTCACGCCAGGGCTCTGCAAATATCAGAGCTTTATTTATCACACAATAGCAAATGAACAAAAGCTACTCTAGAGCCTCTTTCTCTTGCAGAGTCTGTTGCCAGCATGCCTCCTATTTACAGCAGAACAACGCTTCTAAATGTGAGATGGTGAGTGAAACTTAAAGACATGGATGTTGCCCGATCCGTTTATCCAAAGCTGGGTAAACCTGAGCTCGAAATGGAAGTGCTCATTGCTTTTAGGCAAACCATCATGATATCTGGAGAAGATTGTTCACTGTGACAGCAGCAGAATTTGTTCTTTGCAGGTCCTGCAATATTGAATCGCAGTAGGTTTTCATATCAAGTCACAATAATGTTACATCTAACACAATTTGACATGTCGTAGTATTAGTCACTTGGCAACAATCACTTGTGCAAACAAGTGAACAACAAATGGCCTTTAGGTTCAGGAAAATCGAGCCATAAGTTTCTCGATGAAAATTATGATTCACAAATACATATACGCAAATGTTATCATTTGATGCAGAAAACTAACTAAATGACCTACCAATACAGCCAAAAATGGTGCATGCTCGTCAAAGTAAATACTGATTGCAGTTTTAATATAATACCTGGAAAATTATTTCATCAGGCACATGTGGCAGGATTTCCCTTACTGTCCCGACCATAGCTAGTATACTTGCCATGTTATTATCTGCACGAGATGCAGTTCTCAGATGCAGACCACCTGTTCTTCCACCACCAGCAGGAGGAACATATGAAGACGAAATCGATACTCGCGAAGGATTCATTGGCCAGAGACCCCAAGAAGCGTCATCGAGTGCATTCAGAGCATAACCTTCCCCAACAGATGCAAGATGTCTCATCATCATCTGAACCTGCCCCAGTCCAACAGATCTGGAGCCACCAGAGGGACCCGCAGCATCAACACCCTGATCTGACCATGTTTGTAGCCAGCTTGAGTCCAGTCCTGAATTCCTATATGAATCAGACAAAGGTATGAACTTTTAATCCTGTTAAAGTGAGCCAATCTTTAAGAAGAAAACCCAAGGGGGTATAAGCTTGGTCCTCTCAAAATCAATAGTTACTTGCTATCAAAAGAACCAAGTATAATTAGACAATTCAGAATATTTTAGCAAGACAATATCAAAGGAAGTGGATGATGTTGTTATGAACACATTGTTACTTTAATGAACTTAAGAAGAAAACATTATGATGAAACAATGAACCCAACCTCCAAGGATCACTTTCAGTGGAATTGGGCGTCTCGGTTGGAAACATCCCAGTGGTTAGTGCATGCACAGAACTGTTTTGTCTCTCAATTTGACGGGCTAACTGTTCATCTCCTAAGACTTCTCCTCTGCTAGAATTCGCCTCACTTTCAGTTCTACCAACAAAAAGCGGCTTACGACATGTAGGACAAGAGTAAACCTCATTTAAACCTTGATCCAACCTGCGTGCGGCAAAATATCACTGTGATTAACAGTTCTCACACAATCGCAAAAGAACAAAGGTGACAGCATAAAAGAGCTGGCATACCATGATCGCAGGCATCCAAGATGAAAAAGATGGTTGCAATGAAGTCTTTTTGCCTTACCCATTGGTTCCTATCATTCGTAATGATCAAAGACTGGTTAGCTACTGAAAAATGCAAAGACGCTAATAACTATCAAGCAGAAGCATACCCGACATATAGCACATTCGTCATCATATGCCCGCAGCTCTTCTGAAGTTGCATCAGGAAGAGCTGCATGAAGAGCACCTAAAGCTACTCGCAGTTTAATGTATCCTTTTATGCGTTTCAAAATTGCACTTAGCAAGGCCTGCCAAAATCAGACGGGAAAATACACAAAGAACTCAATATTTATATCTGTGCATATTAAGCAACCAGTAGAGTGCCACTTTTACGAAGAAAGTCGGTTAAGAGACTTACACGTATGTTGAGAAACAAAACTGCATCCACCAGATGAAAGGCCATTCCATGGAGCCACCAAATGTGAAAATAATGACCGAGGGCCATTACTAAGGTAGCCATGTCTAGGAAAAAACCAAGGTTCCGATTAAGGAGGCCTTTCCATTCCAATAATGAGCCTATCCAAAGGGAAAGAGTTAAATTCAGTAACGTAAACATCAAATACGCCAAAAATATCCAAGAGAATGCATGAAGTTTAACAGAATACATAATTATAATCATACGCAAAAAAAAAAAAGACAAACCTGCTGTCATAGAATCAAGAAACTTTGATCTTTGGCAATCTGAATTCTTGACTGCTAAGTGGTTGATCCACATATCAAGCAGTTGAAACCCGTGAGTCAACAATGCCTGAAAAAGGATCCAGTATGCGATTGATCAAACCTTTATATACAAAGAAGCTCAACAGAAACAATGAATACAGCTAATCTTACTCAAGTACCTGCAAGGTCTCAAAAGCTACACTGCATGGCTCAAAAAGTAACAATAAATACAGAGATGAACCAATTGTATTGTATATCGTAAGGGAAAGCTTTATCCTGCAAGATTGGACAAAAATAATCAAGAGAAGAACAACAAGTTCAGTCTTCAATCACTAGCGTATGAATCAAAGATATCCCTATTCTGCTAATTGAATTGCAGTCTAATAAACGTGAGAAATCTATACATAAATCTTCTCCGCTCAATATAATGGTGCCTGGCATATGCACCCTCAGAACAACTAAAGCTTCTGCTTCATCTTATGAGCAGAAGATTAAACTGCTTTCACCAAAACTTATGTGCATCATTACAGTCGTGCACCATTCAGATACTTAGGTCATCTGTTTTGTTGCCTTTAAAATACAACAATACCTACTTTTATGATTTTGAAAAATATATTTAATTTAGAGAAAGAAACTAGGAGGAAAACTTTGCATTCATATTTTGGAAGGAATAAATAAAACAGATATTAAAGCCGCGACAGATAATTTCTCATGGTACCACAAAGTTTAGGAAATACCAGCACAAAACAGCAGAGAGAACCATGAACAGCGCTGAATACACACGAAAGTATGTCCAAGGAGTAGAAGAAGGAGATGCATTCAATCTTTCAAGCCGATCTCTAGCCAAAGCTTGAAACATCTACACAACATTTCACTACTCATCAGGTGTCTAGAAAACCAAATGCAGCGTTTTCTGATCATAGATTAAGAAGCCATTTTTTTGTGCAATCTGTATGCCATACCTTAAGAGTACACAGAACAGTTAACCAGATTGTCCATAGGACCCCCTGAAATATTGTGGGTGGAACCACCAACGGCAGGAAAGTGCCCTAAACCCAGGAATAACTAGTTATTAACATAACAAAGTCAAACATCTGCAAATTACAACAAACAGAAAAGATACGCCAATCGAATAAAGTGGTAGAAATAATTGTTCTTGTACCATTACTGCTTGTTATTTTAAGTAGAATTTCGTCTAAATCCTTTTTTGCAACAATTCAGACATTCAGTAAAGGAGGCAATGGAATATCATTATATAAGTGAAATAAAATATGGATTGGTTTCGGTAGCAATATACTGTCTTTCATCAAAGCATAAACAACTACCTTGTAAATGATGTAATTGGCAAGTCTTTCCACCAGCTTTTTAGTTTCAATGGCATATAGATCCCCAAAAAACAGAGTCTGCAGTGAATTCATAAAGCTATTAGATCCTCACAAACTTTATATTTCGTTTCACAGAAGCCATTTAAATAGTGAATAACAAGACTTTTAACTCCTTAGCGTCAGAATTACTTGCTTCTTACAATACAACTCGCAGGTGCAAACTAATTTTTCATGCTGTTTCTAATAACCATACTAAGAGCTGTATGTTGCATTCCATTCCGAGAAAAGACACACATACATTCAAAGAAAGCACTTGAGATATCTATCTATGTACGACAAAGGTAAAAAACATCCACTATTAGAGTTTTAAGAAAGAGAACCAACGAAATTAACTTAAAACAAAACCTCGGAAGTAAAAAAGACCACTCTTACCTTGAGAGAAAGAACAAGAAGAATGTACACATTGAGCACAAAACTTGTCAGCAAGGCAATTGTAGTGTGAGAACCCAGAAGCAGGTCAAGGGCATCCTCAGAATCTCCTAAAGAAACGTTCTTGGAGATTAAACCATCAGCTTTATGTCTATCCAGAGACAACTCACTCCAGACTTGTAAACCCACAAAGCTCAAAGCTGTCATTGCCACGGAAATCGGCAGATATCTTAACCCCATTAGAAACTATCACAGCCTTCTCACTCAAACTTAACCCCCAGAATCTCATTTAATCAAAATCGCATGACGTCCCCTGCATCAACATGATTTCACATAAGCTAAGCAAAGCAAAAACTTATGTAAGTTGGACAATTGAGTTTTAAAAAAGATTCAAATTTAATTGAGTTTAAAAACTCCGAGAAGGTCAAATCGCAGCAAGTAAAATTCACAAACATGATCGCCAAGTTCACAAGATCGAGCAATTGAGAAACATAAACATTAAAAATACTAAAATCGAAAGAAACTGGGGAATTAATTAACAAAACGGAGAGAGATGAGCTGGGACGATGAACGATTCAACGAACAAATCGAAGCCGATAGTATCAAACAGGAAGACAATTGATGGAGTTTGCAGAGAGAGAGAGAGAGATTTCGATCAAACCTGAATCGGAGAATGGGGAAAACTCTCTTCAGAACCGGCAATTGCGTCGTCTCTCTCTCTTTCTCAACGGAGAAGGAAAAGTAAAAAAACAGCAAAAATGTCTTTTTTTTTTTTTTTTTAATAAGATAATCAAAATTAATAATTACAGTTTACGAATAAAATAAGCAGGACCAAAGGGTTTAAATTAATAATTACAGTTTAATTTTAAGAATGAAAATAACTTTTAACCGATTCTTTTGTTTGACAAGTTTACGAAGATTCCACAATTAGTGAAGTGTTTAACTCGATTTAGCAGCTTAATTAAATGCCATATCCCTTTGATTCAACAAGGAAGAGAGAACGAACAAATTACAAACTCATTCATCAAAAACACACACACAGAAAAAAAAAAAACTCTAGTCGACGTTAATGTGACGAACATTGTTACGATCATCCTCTTTAATCTTAGGAATCATAACTTTCAAGACACCATTCTTCATCTCCGCTTTAATCTCATCAGTCTTGTATACTTTCTCCGGCAACCCAATCCTACTCGTAAACCTCCGTCGTCCATCATCACTTCCTCCTTCCCCCTCCTCTGTTTTACCTTCTCCTTTGATCACCAATGTGTTCTGTTCCAAAGCCAGTTTCACATCTTCTCTGCTTAGTCCTGGCATATCGATCCTTAGATGCAACGCGTCTTCTTTCTCTTTCACGTCCCAGCCACGTCTGACTCCTGAAGCTCCCATTCCACGCGTGGCTGACATCAATGGGAGTTCGCTTACCTGGTCCATGAAATTGAGCATCTGGCTCAAGCTTCTCGTCGGACTAAACGGATCGAACATGTCTGTGTGATAAAAAAAATGTGCCAAAATGTTCAGATTCTACAGATCTCCGCGAGAGACCTTCAATTTATCCGCAAACATGTATCAGATCGGGAAAATATAATTTGGACGGAGAAGAAGATTTACCTGATAAGAAATCGCCGCCGCGGCGAGAAACTTGTCGGTTTGAGCGGTGGTTCCCTTCGTCGCCGTCTTCATAGTTTCTGACGGCGTTAGTATTGAAGAGGCGAGAAGAAGAAGCAGCCGCTGAACGAACGGCTCTCAAAGAGCGTGGGACGACGCTTGAAGAGAGAAATCTCCTGAGAGCTAGAGACGATGACGCCATTTTTGCAGATTAGAAGAAGCTTAGTAGAGTAATCTAGCTAGTAATTAGATATTTATAAGCTCGATGTATGTTTTTTTAGAGACTGGAGAGTGTAGAGTTTGCTCAAGGATGGTTCTAGAAGTGCGTGGTCTCCAAGTAAATTATATATTTTTTATTCCATTTTCTCTGACGGCCCATCACGTTTGAGCCCAGATTTGTGAATTTATATTCGGTTTATTAAAGTTCGGTTTTGTGTGGGTTGAAGATTTGTTGTACCGACTGAGAACCGAAATCGAAAGTCGGTTTAGATCGATTTGGTTCAGTTTCAAGTTCAGTGGATCTTGTCTTCAACATTGATCATCGAAGTTGAAGAGAGTCTGAGCCTGAAGGTAATTCGGGTGATCATCTCCGATCAAGATGATGCTGGATCTAGGTCCATTCTCTGATGAGAAGTTCGATGCGAAGCGTTGGGTTAACTCGTCGTGCCAAGCGCGTCACCCGCAGGACTCGCTCGAGAAACATCTTGTGGATCTGGAAATGAAGCTTCAGATTGCCTCCGAGGAGATCGGAGCTTCTCTTGAAGAGCAGAGCGGAGGCGCTCTCCTCCGTGTTCCTCGCGCCACACGCGACGTGTTGCGTTTGCGGGATGATGCGGTGTCTCTGCGTGGTTCTGTTGCTGGGATCCTCCAGAAGCTCAAGAAGGTACACATTTTTGCTGATTGTTTATATTCGTCTTGAAGATTGAATCTGGGCTTTTGTTAGGCTCAAATTAGATCACAAAATTATATGCATTAAGCATGGGCAGTGTCATTGAATTAGATCATTAGTCCCTGCACATAATCTAATTAAGTCAGAATTATGTGCATTTGAGTTGGGCATTCTAATAGATTTTAGGTGTTCTGTGCTTTTGTATTTCTATCTCAGCAGAGTTTTGTAATCAGTGTTTCTTATCGAAATTGGGATTTGCAGGCAGAGGGTTCTTCAGCAGAGTGCATAGCTGCCCTTGCTAGAGTGGACAATGTCAAACAGAGAATGGAGGCTGCCTACAAAACACTACAGGTCAGTATGCATAGTAACCTTTTGAATCATCGTGAGGACACTTAGGGATAACTGCCATTGATACTCTTCTTTCTTGTATATGGACAGGATGCTGCTGGGTTAACTCAGTTAAGCTCGACGGTTGAGGATGTTTTTGCTAGTGGTGATCTTCCTCGTGCTGCAGAAACTCTTTCCAGCATGAGAAATTGCCTGTCTGCCGTTGGGGAGGTAGTTTAATTTTTGCTTCAGTACTGAGTGGATTTTTAAGTCTTTTGTCTTCTGCCACTTGAACTCGAATTTTGATCAACAGGTTGCAGAATTTGCTAATGTTAGAAAGCAACTAGAGGTCTTGGAAGATAGACTGGAGGCAATGGTTCAGCCACGTCTTACTGATGCATTAACATATCACAAGGTTTGAATCCATTTATCTGGAAAACCTAACCAATTTATGTTGTGGTCTGTTGCTACTGTTGTGCTAAAAATCCTTTCACCACGTTTGGCAGGTTGATGTCGCCCAAGATTTGCGAGGAATTCTACTCCGGATTGGGAGATTCAAGTCTCTAGAGTTGCAATATTCAAAAGTCCGTCTAAAGCCAATTAAACAACTCTGGGAGGATTATGACACAAAACAAAGGGTAAACAAGCCTGCCAATGAGAGAAGTGAAAGTCAAATGTTGTCGAGCGGCGATGAGTTTCAATTGACATCATCTCAGACATCATTTGCCAGTTGGCTGCCAAGCTTTTACGACGAGTTGCTACTCTATCTTGAGCAGGAGTGGAAATGGTAAATGGTCACTTCTTTTACAGTAACTGTATATATTTACCAGGCCCTTTTAGTGACAGTATGTCAGACCTTTATACCCAAACATGTGATTGCAGCTTAAGTGTTAATCACTGTAGTACGTTTTTGCTTTCCTGATTGTTCAGGTGTATGGTTGCCTTTCCTGATGACTACATGACTCTCGTCCCAAAGCTGTTGGTTGAGACCATGGGTGTACTGGGGGCTAGTTTTGTTTCTCGTGTTAACCTTGCAACAGGAGATGCTGTTCCTGAAACAAAAGCACTCGCCAAAGGTTAGATATGATGTTAGTACAGTTTGATTATTAGGTTTCCTTCTTAGTCTAGTCCTTTTACCCTGCTGGATTGGGATTTCGTTAATTATTAGGTGGTTCTACTTTACCATCGTTTATCTTTATAGATAGAGCGACGAGTATCAGTTTCTTCTACCTTTACACCTTAGGTTTTTAGCTGTTCTTGTTAAGTTTGTAATTTTTTGTGCATAGTGACAAATCTCATGAATCTGTCAATATTCAAGAGAGAGTTGCAGGAAATCTGAACTTTCATATTAAATTTAGAAACTTATTCGTAACATTAATTTATTTATTTAGTGACTGAATTTTTTTTTTTTCAGACATTTGACTAGTATTTTCATTCGTCTTATATTTTTATTTTGTGTAATTAGGAGAATACTAACAATTCTGATGTTTTTCCTTAACCAGGTGTGATGGATCTATTATCTGGAGACTTGCCCAAGGGTATTAATATTCAGACCAAACATCTTGAGGCTCTGATTGAACTGCACAACGTAACTGGTTCCTTTGCAAGAAATATTCAGCACCTGTTTGCCGAATCTGAACTTAGGGTTTTAATAGATACGCTGAAGGCAGTGTACTCACCCTTTGAATCATTTAAGCAAAAGTAAGCTGTGTACTTCTCTATCCCTTATGTCTGTGATTTCATTTAAAAACTTTTTTGGGTATATGGTTCTTCAAGGCTGTTTGTGACATAAGAGTTGATCATCCTTTAGGTATGGGAAGATGGAACGTGCAATTTTATCCTCTGAGATTGCAGTGGTGGATCTTAGAGGGGCTGTTACTCGCGGTGTTGGGGCTCAAGGAATCGAACTCAGTGAAACAGTACGTAGGATGGAAGAGTCTATTCCCCAAGTTGTTGTTCTTCTTGAAGCTGCGGTTGAAAGGTGTATCGGCTTCACTGGCGGCTCAGAGGCAGACGAGCTGATACTTGCATTAGATGACATAATGTTGCAATATATCTCAATGCTTCAAGAAACACTCAAATCTTTAAGAGTTGTGTGTGGAGTGGATGGTACAGGTGATGGAGTTGGCTCAAAGAAGGAGGCAAGTGCAGAGAAAAGGGAGAGCTCTCGCAAGATGGATTTGACTTCAAATGAGGAATGGTCCATTGTCCAGGGAGCACTACAAATTCTTACTGTAGCTGATTGTCTCACAGGCAGGTCTTCTGTCTTTGAAGCCTCTTTGAGAGCCACTCTAGCTAGACTAAACTCCAGCTTGTCTATTGCGTTATTTGGCACAAATTTGGATCAAAACCTATCACATTTGAAAAGTGAACAAACTGCTGGAGATTTGTCTATGGCTGGACGAGCTTCCCTGGATGTGGCAGCTATTCGGTTAGTTGATGTTCCGGAGAAGGCTCACAAACTGTTAAACCTGTTGGAGCAGGTACTGAAAAACTGTAGTCTTGATTTACATCTGAATTAACTATACATTATTTCATGTGTATCGTTTCCTTTTTCCCTTGATATGTTGCAGTCTAAAGATCCACGGTTCCATGCCCTGCCTTTGGCGTCTCAGAGGGTTGCTGCATTTGCCGACACAGTCAACGAACTTGTCTATGATGTCCTCATATCAAAAGTCAGGCAACGCCTCGGGGAAGTATCTCGCCTACCAATCTGGTCTTCGGTCGAGGAACAAACTGCATTTCCTCTACCAAACTTCAGCTCATACCCTCAGTCTTATGTTACAAGTGTAGGAGAATATCTTCTTACTTTGCCTCAGCAGCTTGAGCCTCTAGCTGAAGGAATATCAACCAATGGCGATTCAAACAACGAGGATGCCCAATTCTTTGCAACTGAGTGGATGTTTAAGGTAAGTCTAACTGAGCTTGAATCAACTTCGAATCTTGATAATTAGGATCGTAACCACTGAATTGAAAAACAGGTAGCAGAAGGCGCAACCGCTCTGTACATGGACCAGTTGAGAGGAATCCAATACATTTCAGACCGAGGAGCACAGCAACTCTCTGTAGATATAGAGTACTTGAGCAATGTGCTTTCGGCGTTATCCATGCCGATTCCACCGGTTCTTGCCACTTTTCAGACCTGTTTGGCTACACCAAGAGATCAGCTCAAAGATGTGATGAAATCAGAAGCTGGTAGTGAACTCGATTTCCCTACAGCTAACCTTGTCTGTAAGATGCGTCGTATCAGTTTCGATTAGTAGACTTTGCTAAACAAATCGGTTCTGTCTTTTTTTTTTTTTTTTTTTGAATGTAATGTTAAGGTTCTGTCTTATTGTATTACACTTGTGAAAATTTTGATGCAATAGAAGAAAAAAGTTTCATAATCTGTGTTGTGTAATGAAGCTAAATCTTAAGGATCATGGAATTGAGAGTATTTTTTCTAAAATCCACCATTATTGGATAATAATTTCAATTGTCTTCTAAAATTTCATGTCATTGGATATAAAATCTTCCAAACTGATTCAAAATAGTTTATAATCTACCATGTGCAATTTAAATTTATGCAAATCATATAAATCCGTGATTTATTATTGAACGCGTTTAATTATTAAATTCGTCAATTTTATCTTCCATTTAAATATTTTTAAATACCATTACTTTGTCGTTTTCGACATTGTTTCCATGCATAAATAATTATACATCGAAAATTTGAACAAAATAATGTTTTTTGACTTCAATCTCTAATTTCCAATCTTCTTTTATGGAAGTCCTTAAATGATTGTTTTCAAATTAATTTTGATAAGTTTTTTTTATTTTTAATCTAATTACAATTTTCTGTTAAATTATAATATATCCTTTTCCTAATTATATGTCAAACATTCTTTAAAGAATTTGAATTTCTTACTATGTTGTTTCTTTTTCATTCATTTTTTACTCAATATACTTTCTGCTTTTAATTATTTTGGTAAGTTTATATTTTATTGGAAGCAAAATATACATATACATATGAATTAAATGAATATTGAAAGTAAAAATATACTATACAGTATATGAACTAATTATATAATGAAAATACAGAGTGTCCGATAGACGCCCTTTTGTTCGTGGCGGACGAAACCCTAATCATCACTCCTCCACTTTTGTTCGTCATCCTTTTCTTCAATTTGATTCTGCAATTGCTTTATTCTCTCTTCAATTTGGTTCAGTTCGATTTGTTTATAACCCGCCATGGATGCTCAGCGAGCTCTGTTGGACGAACTTATGGGCGCAGGTGAATAATCGAAGAGCAAAAATCCAGTTTCAGTTTTCATCCTCGAAATTGAGCTCTCCGAAGCTTTAATCTATGGTTTTTATGTGATTAATTTGGTGAATTGTTGTCTAATTAGCTAATAAATGTAAACGAATTTGCTTGCAGCTCGTAATCTGACAGACGAAGAGAGAAGAGGGTTCAAGGAGGTTAAGTGGGACGATAGAGAAGTCTGTGCATTCTATATGGTTCGGTTTTGTCCTCATGACCTCTTCGTTAACACTCGAAGCGATCTTGGTAAGTCTGTATTTTTAACTCCACCGTTGCTTTGTATGATGCTTTATATTCATTTTATCTTAGCTTCATTGTTGTTGTCTCTGGTTCTTTCAGGAGCATGCTCGAGAATTCATGATCCAAAGTTGAAAGAGAGGTGAGACCCCATTGAGATCTTCTGTATGTTTATCTGATATATTACAAATCTGAATAAGCAATTGCTCAAATAGACCATTTACTGTGGTACTCTACTCCTAGAAGCATTTTTGGCTATCTTGCATGTTTATGTTCATCAATGTTATACGTAGAGGTTAAATTTAGGCTTACCTGAGAGAGTGCCATTTATGCATTTTTATCAATGAGTTTTGGTTATTTTCTGTTTCAGCTTCGAAAACTCTCCAAGGCATGATTCCTATGTGCCTAAGTTTGAGGCTGAGCTTGCACAGTTTTGCGAGAAGTTGGTATGTGATGCTTTTCACTTCTATTATTTATTCCATAAGAATGAGTCTTCTGAAAACTAAGATTGGAATTGGTTACAGGTGAATGATCTTGATAGGAAGGTCAGGCGTGGACGAGAACGCCTTGCACAAGATGTTGAGCCGCCTCCACCACCTTCTCTATCTGCAGAAAAAGCTGAACAATTGTCTGTTTTGGAGGAAAAAGTTAAGAACCTTTTGGAACAAGTGGAAGCACTTGGTGAAGAAGGCAAAGTGGATGAAGCTGAAGCGCTAATGAGGAAGGTACCATTTATTTACCATGCTGTTAAGTTCTAAAGAAGCTCTAAAAAATGAGTTTCGAAGTTTTGACAAGTCATACTAGATCTTGGAATATGGTGGTCTTCGTGATTCCTCCCTATTTTAGTTATACCCTAAGTGATGACACATTTGTATGATTACAAATTTAGTGTACTGAGTGCTTTATCTTTCTATAACTTTTGTAGGTGGAAGCGCTTAATGCTGAGAAGACTGCCTTGTTACAACGTCCAACTGACAAGGTACTCGCAATGGCACAGGAGAAGAAGATGGCACTGTGTGAGGTTTGTGGATCATTCCTTGTGGCAAATGATGCTGTAGAAAGAACGCAGTCTCATGTCACTGGAAAACAACATGTTGGCTATGGCTTGGTCCGGGAGTTTCTTGCTGAACAAAAAGTACAAGTCTCTTAATTAATACTTGAGTCTTTTATCATTTAAGCTGTCTTTTTGGAAGATGGGGATAGTGATACTTGTTTTTCTTTCTTTTTTTTCCAGGCTGCTAAAGATAAAGGAAAGGACGAAGAAAAGCTAGTCAGAGGAAAAGAAGCAGATGATAAGAGGAAACCAAGGGAGAAGGAAAGCGAGAGTAAGAGGAGTGGGTCTAGTGATAGAGAAAGATACCGTGATCGGGATCGGGATAGAGATGGTGATAGACACAGAGACCGTGGCAGGGATCATAGAAAGCCTTATGACAGGAGATCGAGGAGTGGCAGAGAGGGTCGTGATCGAAGCAGGTCACGATCTCCTCACGGAAGGTCTGGTCACAGAAGAGTGTCAAAAAGCCCCATTCGCCAGTACTAGTTTGAGACCCTAATGGAAAGTCTAGCCACAGAAGGGTGTAGAAAATCGCATTTGCCACCACTAGTTTGAGATAATGTGTTGTCGCTATGTCTTGGGGCCAGGAATTTTGCAAATTAATGAGGTAGACATTGTGACATCCCCCTTAGTTTCATGAGCATGTGTCTTGTTTTGGAACTTCCTTGTTAAATTTTATGGATAAAAATTATCTTTCTACCGATTCACAGCTATTCTAAGAGTTTGAGACCTTACCCCTTCGTCGGTTGGTTATTTGTTAAGAGGTCAAAAGCATTGAGGTAGGTATAACCATATAACCTTTACATTTTCATTGCATTTCCCAATGTTTGGGATGCTATAGCCTCTTTGATTTTGTTGGTTGGTACTTGGTACCTGTTTCTAGTTTGATATACTTTTCTGGTTGAAAGACTACAGAATCGGGAATATTGGGATTTGGGCTTGAATGACAAAGATACTCTTTGAGGTAACAAATATATGACAGACATCCTTTACTAGAAGTTAGGTTCAGTCTTGAGTTTGAGTTTTGTTTATTCTTGTCGAGTTCTCTGTCTACAAGTAAAGTTTATTCACGGGAGGAATAATAATCTTTGGCTTTGGGGTTAGGTATAACTGTTACATTTCTTGGAACCTTTGCTTGCAAAAAAAAAAGCCTTCAATAAAGTAATCTCTGGGAGGGAATCCAGGAAGCACATTGGATGGGTTGGCATGATGTTTGATATGTATCGGGTAAACTCCCACCTTTGTTGATGAAGTTTTGATAAATCTTTTCTAAATTCCAGTGGTGGATGATTACAATAACATAGTAGGTAAGGAATTCTCTGGTGGAAGCAACAACAGTTTTGGTGGTTTTGTGTTGAGGTCCCAAGAACAGGTCTGTGTTGATGTTTTGGCCTATCTCAAAAGCTGGTGGGGCTTTTTGTAAACATTACAAATGTGTTCTCTCTTTCTTTGATTCAATTTAAAAACCTCAGCTTGTGAAACCCTTGTTTGGGGGTTACCTGGTTTTGCAGCTACATAAGCTTGTCATATTTGGCATGCAAACTCGTAAGTGATGAAACGACTTTGTCTTACCTTATTACAATCACTGGTTGTTAAGTCCAACGCCAAATTTTGAGAAAGAAAAATGACAGGAACTTGGTATTATTGTTGGTGTTGAAGAGCATCAAAAACTATGAAATATTGGATAGATTTCGTTGGAATCAGAATGAAGCAAAAATCACGTTTCATACCTGTCCGTCTTGCTTCAGCTTCCTTCATTCATATTCCAAAAATTTTCACCAAATCTGTTTTTCCTTTAGATATAATTTGAGTAAGGAAGTCGGCAAGAATGAACATTGGGATTTTAGATGTGTAACTTTTTCAGTAAGAAAATTCATTTATCTGTTTTGGTTTTATGTCAATTATATTCGGGTTCCATTTATAAGTGTCGGATCGATTTTGGAGAAAAAAATATTGGTTCAATTTTAATAAAATTCGGTAAAATTTTATAAAAGTTTATATAGTTTTATCAAATATACCTTTAGAAATTTGGATATCGAGTTTATTCTTATAATTTCAATATTTGGTATAAAATTATATATTTAATTATAGTTTTATTTTGGATTTTCGGATATATTACTTAGTTTTGGATTTGGATAATTCGGATAAGACAATTATCCCGAGCGTAGGCTTTAATGAGTCCGGGTAAGTCAACGGAAGAGAAGAAGACCAAATTAGACTTTAACTCCGGTTTGGTAACAGTTTGGTAACATCCCTTCTTTAAGTTTCCTTCTTAATTAAATCTCATTAGAGTAAAAATAAAAAGCCCTTAACACACACAGGAAGAAGAAGACGGAACCTGTGAGATCATCATCATCATCACTCGTCTGTTTCTCCAAATCTCCTTCATATGGTTCGTCCAAGATCCTTTTTTTTTTGTCTCTTTCTTTTTATCAATTCGATTTTTGGCTTGATCTTAATTTTGGATTCAGATGTCGGACGGAGGAGCACCGTCGAGGTATGTGAAGTTGACAAAGGAGCAAGCTCCCGTCGATGAGATTAATCCCGGCGAACTCAATCAGCCCATTGAGGTTTCTCATGTAATTGCCCTCTTCTACTGTTTCTGATTTTCACATTTACGCCATCCCAATTTTTGATATTAATCGATAATGTTAGTTGTTTGCGATAGAGATCCGTGTTTTGTCTTCTTCAATTGATCAATTTTTTATTTTGTGTTTTGTCAATTTGACTTGATTAGTGATTTTTCCAATTCGATCTATTTGGATCTGTGCTCTGATTCGATTCCGTGTGTGCAAACTTGTCCGTAGCTAGCTGTTCACAAATGTAACGAGTGTGGCCAACCTTTGCCTGAGAATTTTGAAGCTCCTGCTGATGAGCCATGGACTACCGGAATCTTCGGTTGTACTGAGGACATGCCTAGTTGTAAGTTTTCACTTTCACAGATCTGTGTTATCATTTTGATTCATCTTTATCTAGAAGCTTAGTTTCACATCTTCAGTGTCATGCTTAGTAGATAGTTTTATAGTCCACTTCCATGTCTTAGATGAAGTCTCTTTACAGTTTGGCAGGGACTTTTTTGCCCAAGTGTTCTATTTGGGCGTGTCTATGAGACTCTGAGTGACGAGGAAACCTCTTGTACCAAAGCATGTATTTGTCATTCCATTGTCGTAGAAGGCGGTCTTACTGCTGCATCCATAGTTGCTTGTGTTCCTGGTATAGATCCGCATACGTCGTTTCTTATATGTGAAGGATTGTTGTTTGTATGGTGGATGTGTGGTATCTACACCGGAAATGTCCGCCAAAATCTACAGAGGAAATACCATCTCAAGGTAAAATCGAAAGCTTCCATAACGAAATATCGATATAAACTGCGAAAAAGGAGTTTTGACGTTGTGTGTGTTTTTGTATGGTTGATTGAAACAGAACTCTCCATGTGATCCATGTATGGTGCATTGTTGCCTGCACTTTTGCGCGGTTTGCCAAGAGCACCGCGAGATGAAGAACCGTCTTTCGGACAACTTTGTGATGCCCATGACTGTTATTAACCCGCCACCGGTTCAAGAGATGAGTGCCTCTGACCACAGCTCTGTCCCCGTCTCACACCATAGCTCTGATCTTGAGATGAGGCCATTGTAGTAAGTCCTCAACCAGATTCAAAGGTTTTTGTTTTGTGTCAGACCTCATCCCTGAACCAATTTTTATATCTAAAATACTAAAACCGATTTGGTTTGTTTCAAAAGAGAGATACATTCTATTTATTTTTTCCAATGTATAATTATGATTTATCTTTATCTTTATCTCAATTTTTTTAATCAGTATTTATTTATCTGTTTTTGAATATTTCTACTAGATATGCAATATTTGATTATTTCTATAGGTAGCTTGCTAAATTTATCTTTCTTTTGGATAAATATGAAAACAATTAAAGAATCTTAAAAAGATAGTTACACGTTTTAACATTATATTTGTTTTATAATAAAAGAACCAAAATACCAAAAACTTTTTTCTTATAAGTAACGATAACTACGAAAATTAGGTACGCAAGTCTCTGCCCTACGTTTTTATTCGTTTAGATATTACAAAGGACCACATAAGAAGAAGAAGAAGAAGATGATCGGAAAAGAGTACGACTTACCTGTGTCAACAACGGCGGCGGAGACACGAGTTTCTGCGTCGCTGCCACGTTTTCAGGCGAGTGTTGAAGGGTTACGTAGACGGAAGAGCTTGGCTGGAGCCGGACAGAGAGATATCTTTTATGGAGAAGATGACGTGGCGGATTTGATGTTTAGAGAAGAGGAAGTGGAACAGGACACCGTCATGAGAGCTTACAGAAGCAACGAAGCCATGAAATCTATCCAAGACACCAGACGAAGTCGAACAAGGTTCTCTTGTTTTCAATGTTTTGACTTTCTCAAACTTTTCTTCTCTAGAGATCGCCGCTAATACAATTATTTATTTATTTTTTCTCTTGTATAAAACATTGTTTCTTGTATATTCTTTAGTGAAAAGCAAAACAAAAAAAAAAGCATGGACACAAGAGTTTTTATTATACATAACAACAGAACATTGCAATACATATGATTTTACAACAGAGAGTAATGATTGATTGATGCCTCAAGAGTATTTCCAAGGGTACATGAGATGCGAGAACCTACGTTACATTGACATAAGATCATCTCTTTTTGAAGAATTTGCTGCCTCTCTTTCCAATACCGGAACCTTCGAGACTAGATGAGAGATGAGACCTTGTGTCTGGTCTCCATGTTAGTTCTTTGAGAAGTGAGAACAAAGACGAGAGTGCCGCTGATATTTCGCTGTCTTTTATGTTCTTGCATGACACTACTCTCATGCTCTCAAGCTCTTCCCAGTGTAGAATTACTGACTCTAAGCCGCTTGTTGTTAGGACTGAGCATCCTTCCAGAGACAGAAACCTCACCTTCCTACAAGGGACAAAATAGTGATCAAATAGCCTATCTACTGCATCTCAGAGTAAAAACTAGCAGAAGAGTTCGATGGGAAATCTTTTCAGGGTTTGCTGGAAGTTATAAGATTTAAGTAATAAAGCACACAACTCAAAGTAAAAACAGTTAATGCTCATAAAATAGATACGTCAGTAACATAAACACCACATTTAAGTTTCTGCTTTTCATTCTTCTGATAGTTAATTGATGAGATCCTGATGTGAAAAAGAACCTACCAACAGGAACACCAGAGAACTATGGCTTCTGCTCTTTAAAGTAACCATTTTTAATAACAATCCATGAACTCAATAGTTGAAGGGAAACGTGTCTAGGGAATTGATCTAAAGCCAAGTTACCTGAAAGCTTTAGCCAAGCTGAAAGAATCATCAAGCAATCCCCAACAATCCTGAATATTAACCTTAGTTACTCCATCACACACCTTAAACAAGGCTCTCATCCCCTCCTTATCATTCAAACAACACTTTTTGAGTTGCAAACTCTCCAGAGCTGGACAAGATCCCAGCAACTTTTCTGGTCCAGGACTAGAATCTATCTTTCTACACGACGTAATTCTCAATGTCTTCAAATTCTCAAAATACGAAAGCGCAGCTATCCAACCATCATCCATTCTATGGTCAGAAATAGTCAATTCCTCAAGCACTTCACAACACTGCCCAATTGCTTTAATCCCATCAAAACTACCCTCACAACCACTAAGCTCCAGCTTCACCAATCTCTTACACCCTTGTGCTAAAATCGTCAAACCTATATCAGAAACCGACGAACTATACAATCCATCTACAATTCCAACCAATTTCAAAACTCTCAGATTCTCACAAGCAGCAATACCACGCAAGAGATTATCACTACACTTGTGCAACTCTAGCTCCTGCAAATCGGAACAGTCCTCAGCTAAACTCAGCAATCCCAATTCAGTAGCATTAATCACAACAAGTTTAAGCAAATCACAGCTCCCTCTTCCTAATACCCTAACCCCTCTATCAACCATTTCACAATGCAACAAATTCTCCTCAACAAAATCCCAATTCGACGCCGAATCGGTAGATATATGAAACGAAATCGACTTGTGACAAAGCAAAATCCCCGAGTTCCTCGAGGGATTCAAACACGCGTTAACCAAATCAACATTCGTAAGCTTGGGAAACCTAGAGACAAGCCTCCCAGACAAGAGAAAATCCCAATCGAAAACCTTCATAGTCCGTAAACGCCGTCCCTGAAGATTCAACCACCGTTTACACACGAGAGAGACATCGCTGCTCTGAGATTCAGGTAGCTTCTCGAGGATCCTGAGGATGATGGAATCTGACAACGAAAGTGTTCGATCGACATCGGAGAATTCAGAAGCGGCGGATTTGAACCTGGATCTCGGTGACTGGGCTTGAATGACGGCGGAGACTACTTGCTTGAACGACGTCGTAGGATGGTTTAGCCATGGACCGGTCCAGCTCGCACGTCTCCTTCTCAGAGGCGATTTAGGACTCGTCGGCATCTTCTCCCTAAACGACATCGTTTTCAGTTTCCTCTTCCTTCCTTCTTCTCTGCTTTGATCTATCTCTCTGGTTTGATTTAGCGGCGGATTACGAACTGTTCTAACGGATACAATGAAAGAGATGTTTTGGGAGAGAGAGAGAGAGAGAAAGAGAGAGAGTTTTGAATTTTATTTAATTTCTTTGGGAAAATAAAAAATTAAAAATGGGGGTCATGGGAATCACGGTGGGATTTGAGTTGACTTTGACTAAAAGAATAGAGAAAGATGGTGTTGTGCACATCTCCACTTAAATTAAATTGTGTAATTTGGTCTACTTTACTTTTTACTAACTAGCCTTAAAACATTGAATTATGTTGTTGGTTATTAGGTTATGATTAGCTTAATATGCGGGTTTAGGATAAGATAAATATATGAAGTGATTTCTTTTTCTTTCAAATATTTTGAAAGAATGTTATGATAGTTACATTTTCATCTCTTGATTTCAAGTATTATTAAGTAGTTAGCAACATAAATCTAATGTTTACATGAACTAGCACAGACATCATATTATAAATAAATTGGTTTTTTAAAGTTAGTCAGTATTCATTAATAATTTGTATTTTTTAATTCCTAAATCTATATTATTTTTTTGTTAAAATTTATTTTTAATAGATTTCATGTATCAAAATGTTATAGTGTTGTATTCAATTCATGATGATATTTGTTTTTGTTGTAATTTATTCTAAGAAAATATTGATTATAATGATTAAATTTTATTTTCGGTGTGTATATTTTAAAATATCATCGAATTAGAAAAATCTTTATATTAATTAATAATACAAATCTAATTAAATTAATAGAATTTCAAAATTTGACGTGAAAATACTTTTCAAAATTGGCGTATTTGAACTAATCGAGTAAAGTTGTCAAAATAAAAAAAACATTGCACACTTATTATTTATTAATAAAAATAATTAAACTTTATGTTGAAAATATCACGTCTTTATAATTCGTTGCATTAGTGGAGAGAGTTTTTACAATATAATTTGTGTGCTATTTCTTTATTATTGTGGTGGATTTGCGATTACTGCAACACAATAAGTTGTATTTGAGCTAAGTTGGTAGCTTTCTTCAGATATTCAAACTCAAAGTACCTAATAACTCAAACAATGTTTTCTGAATCTCTTCTACTATCAATGCTGAAATTGAAATTTAGTATTGTGAACGGCAAGAGTTTTATTACTATACATAACAACAGTAACATTGCCATACATAAGAGTTTGGGACGTATTATTTTTTACAACAGAGTAATGCTTGAGGGAAGAAGAGGATAACTAAAGAGTTTGTCTATAGACTCTATATCAAGAGTTCTCAAGGCACATGGGATGTGAGCACTTACACAATATAACATATGTTCAATGTAGAACACTCTTCTTGAAGAATTTGCTGCCTCTCTTTCCAATACCCGCACTTTCGAGACTCGATGAGAGATGGGACCTTGTGTCTGGTCTCCACGTTAGTTCTTTGAGAAGCGAGAACAAAGACGAGAGCGCGGGTGAAATTTCGCTGTCTTTTATGCTCTTACATGACACTACTCTCATGCTCTCAAGCTCTTCCCAGTGCAGAATTACTGACTCTAAGCCGCCTGATGTTAAGACTGAGCATCCTTCCAAAGACAGGAACCTCGCCCTCCTGCAAGAGAAAGCAGATGATCAAAATGCCGCAAAAGAAGCAAAACTTCTCTCCTAATAGCCTTTCTAACAACAACCCATGAACTAGACAACTGAAGAGAAAACATAAGGAAGTGATCTAAAGCCAAGTTTACCTGAAAGCTTTGGCCAAGCTGAAAGAATCATCACTCAATCCCCAGCAATCCTGAATATTAACCTCTGTTGCTCCATCACACACTTTAAACAACGCTTTCATCCCATCCTTGTCATTCAAACAACACCTCTTGAGTTGCAAACTCTCCATAGCTGGACAAGACAGCAACAACTTTTCTGGTCCAGGACTAGGGTCTATCTTTCTACACGACGAAATTCTAAGTGTCTTCAAATTCTCAAAGTAGGAAAGCGCAGCTATCCAACCATCATCCATTCTATGGTCAACAATGGTCAACTCATCAAGCAGTTCACAACATTGCCCAATTGCTTTAATCCCATCAAAGCTACCCTCGCAACCACTAAGCTCTAACTTCACCAACCTCTTACACCCTTGCGCTAAGAATGTTAACCCTATATCAGACACTGATGAACTATACAATCCGTCTACGCTTCCAACCAATCTCAAAGCTCTAAGATTCTTACACGCAGCAATGCCATGCAAGAGACTATCATTACACCTGTGCAACTCTAATTCTTGTAAATCAGAACAGTCCTCAGCTAAACTCAGTAATCCTGATTCAGTAGCGTTAATCACTACAAGTTTAAGCAAATCACAACCCCCTCTGCCTAATACGCTAAGCCCTCTATCAATTACGTCACTGTGCAATAGATTCTCTTCAAGAAAATCCCAATTCGACGAGTCTGAAGATAAATGCAAACAAATCGACTTGTGACAGAGCAAAATACCCGAATTGACCGGCGGATTCATGATACAGGCGTTTGTCAAATCGACATGCGTGAGCTTGGGGAACCTCGAGACAATCCTCCCAGACAAGACGAAATCGAAATCAAGAACCTTTAGAGTCCGTAGACGACGTCCCTGAAGACTCAGCCAGCGTTTGCAGACGAGTGAGACGTCGTTGCTCTGTTGTGATTCAGGTAGCTTCTGGAGGATCTTGAGGAGAAGAGAATCGGATAAAGAGAGAGTTGGATCGGTGTTGGAAGAAGAAGGTTCGATTGGATTGAAAGGCTTGCCATTTTTAAAGGGTTTGATTTGATGATTTTGGACAAGCTCACCAAATTCAGACATTTCTTGTTTTGCTTCAGCTATATCTTCTTTAACTGAAATTGCGCGTCTTTTATTATTGTCTTCTTAACCCAGAAATAGTGACACTTTGGACAAGGACTAGAAGCGATTTGACTCTTTTCTTCTGGTTCGGGTAGTTCCGGTTTTGGGTTATTTGGTTATACAAGAAAATGGTTCTGATTTAACCCGAAAATAGAATTAGGTCTGGTTTGGTTCAGGTATTAATTTGACATGTACAGTATATTTCTGTTCGGTTTTATGCTATTTAGGTTTGGGTTTATTTTGGTTGCTAAGCGGTTAAAGTTTGCTAAATTTTGGTTCAATTTTAGATATAAATTTGGTAAGTTGGTCAAGATATTGAAAATCTATTTTGGTCAAACACTGATGGAGATCGAGATCTATGGCAACATATGAATTATGAATAAATAAGTTTGATAAATTATATTAAAATATGTAAATGTTTTTACACCATGTAAATTAATTTTAAAACAATAATAAACTTAAATTGTAAATTTTTGTAATCATCGCATCCTACTATAATATAATAATAAAAATCATATATATATATAATAATATTACATAATTTTAGAAATTAAAAATTGACAATTTTCACTCCCTTTCATAAAATTTTGTTTTCGGATTTTTTTTTATTTTCCACTTATTCCAATAATTTTTTTGTTCTTAGATTATGTATGTTTTTCAATGTTTAATACCTAAATACATATGACAAAAGAAGATCGAAATCTTTTACCACCCATTTATTTAATTGTTTACGTTTTACTTGAAAACACATGCTAAATTCAGAAAAATAACTAAAAGAAAAGTTCATTGAGAATAGAAATTGTGATTGACGAACACACACAATAGACAAAAACATGCCTTACCAAAAAAAAAAGACAAAAACATGAATGATGATTAGTAGTAATTTGTTACATTAGTAGTACAAAATTAATCAACTTATTAAGTAAGATTAGTGATTAATAATGAGAAAGAGAGAATCCAAGAAAAAAACAAAAAAAAAACATAGTTAATCGTATATATTTGAGAGCAATCAATGCGACCAGCTTTTTCTCACTCAAAACTCAAAAGCAAAAGCACACTCCCCCATCAAAGTTTCTCGCTTTTCGTCTCTTTCCACTGTTATAGATTTGCATTATACTATCTCATCTGCTGTTTCTTCATCAGCTTTTATGCTTCCTCTCATTGATCTCTCTCACACCCTCTTCTTCCAACTCTAATGGAGTCTTCTTCCAAGCTACATAAACTCTGTGGTTACTTTTATCTTTTCCTCTTCTTCTTGACTTCAGTTGCAGCTGACCCTCAAACAGATTCTCTTCTCAGCTTAAAATCTCAACTCACCGACAAATTCGACAGCTTAAAAGACTGGTTCGTCATCACTCCCGGAGTTTCCGACAAATCTGTCGCATGTTGTTCTTGGTCTGGTGTCCGATGCAACCAAGACTCTACCTCTGTTGTCTCTCTCGACCTCTCTTCCAAGAATCTCGCTGGGAATTTGCCAGGGAATCAGTTCCTCGTCTTCTCTGACCTCCTTGAGCTTAACATCAGTGACAACTCGTTTTCCGGCGAGTTTCCGGCTGAGATCTTCTTCAACTTGACTAATCTAAGAAGCCTTGACATTAGCCGAAACAACTTCTCCGGGCGTTTCCCCGACAACGGTAATGGCTCAAGTCTCAAGAATCTGATATATCTCGACGCCTTGAGCAATAGCTTCTCCGGTCCATTACCGATCCATCTCTCTCAGTTAGAGAATCTCAAGGTACTCAATCTTGCTGGGAGTTACTTCACTGGCTCAATTCCGAGTCAGTACGGTTCTTTCAAGAATCTTGAGTTTCTTCATCTTGGTGGGAATTTACTAAGCGGGCATATACCACAAGAGCTTGGGAATCTCACAACTCTAACTCACATGGAGATTGGATATAACTCATATCAAGGAGTGATCCCTTGGCAAATCGGTTACCTGAGTGAGCTCAAGTATCTCGACATTGCTGGAGCTAATCTCTCTGGCTTCTTACCAAAGCGTTTCAGCAATCTCACAAAGCTTGAATCTTTGTTCCTCTTCAGGAACCATCTTTCTAAGGAAATCCCATGGGGGCTTGGAAAAATCACTTCTCTTGTTAACTTAGACCTCTCAGACAACCATCTCTCTGGAACCATACCAGAGAGTTTTGCAGGTTTCAAGAATCTCAGGCTATTGAATCTTATGTACAATGAAATGAGTGGGACTCTCCCTGAAGTCATTGCTCAGCTACCTTCTTTGGATACTCTCTTCATATGGAATAATTACTTTACTGGCTCACTTCCAAAAAGCTTGGGGATGAACTCAAAGCTTAGGTGGGTCGACGTTTCAACCAACAGTTTCCAAGGTGAAATCCCACAAGGTATTTGCTCAAGAGGTGTTCTTTACAAGCTCATGCTTTTCTCCAATAATTTCACTGGAACTCTATCTCCATCTCTCTCCAATTGTTCAACGCTTGTTCGTATAAGGCTTGAAGATAATTCATTCTCAGGTGTGATCCCTTTTAGCTTTAGCCAGCTTCCTGATATCTCATACATAGACCTCTCTAGAAACAAACTCACTGGAGGGATTCCTTTAGATATATCCAAAGCTACAAAACTTGACTACTTCAATATCTCCAATAACCCTGAGCTTGGAGGCAAACTTCCACCGCAGATTTGGTCTGCGCCTCGTCTTCACAACTTCTCTGCATCATCCTGCAGTATCTCTGGTGGTCTCCCTGAGTTTGAATCCTGCAAAATGATCACTGTTATTGAATTGAGCAATAACAATATATCAGGGATGTTGACACCAACTGTTTCCACTTGTGGCTCTCTTCAGAAGATTGATTTAGCTGGTAACAGCATGACAGGTGGGATTCCTGAGAGATTTGCAAAGCTTCCACATTTGATAATCTTGGATTTGTCATACAATAACTTGAGTGGCTCCATCCCATCTGACAAAGTGTTTCAATCAATGGGGAAACATGCATATGAGGGCAATGCAAACCTCTGTGGGCCTCCTCTGAAATCATGTTCAGCTTACAGCTCAAGGAAGCTTGTGTCAGTTCTGATAGCTTGTCTAGTCTCTATTCTGCTAGTTGCAGTTGCGACTTTGGCATTGTACTATGTTCGTCACAGAAATCAAGGTCAATGGAAGATGGTGTCTTTCGCGGGACTCCCTCATTTCACAGCAGATGATGTTTTAAGGAGCTTTGGTTCCCCTGAACCTATTGAAGCAGTTCCAGCTTCAGTGAGCAAAGCAGTTCTGCCAACAGGAATAACAGTCATAGTGAGAAAAATCGAATTGCAAGACAAGAAGAAGAGTGTTGTTTTGAACGTTTTAACGCAGATGGGGAATGCAAGACACGTAAATCTGGTTAGACTGCTTGGGTTTTGTTATAACAATGATCTTGTGTATGTGTTGTATGATAATAACCTGCATACCGGGACTCTGGCTGAGAAAATGAGGACAAAGAAGAAAGACTGGGCAACTAAGAAGAAGATCATCACTGGAGTTGCAAAGGGACTTTACTTCCTTCACCATGAATGCTACCCTGCAATTCCTCATGGAGATGTGAAGTCAACTAATATATTATTTGGTGAAGATAAGATGGAGCCCTGCTTGGGTGAATTTGGGTTCAAGTACATGCAACATTTGAAGAAAGGCTTTGTCTCTTCAACTGCAAACACAGGTACTTTACCATGAAACACAAATTCTCTTTAGCACTAGTGTATATAAATAGATATAGATCATGTATACATCCTCCTTTGTTCTTCCTAACATTAGACTCAATGAAGCAGATCAGATGAACGATGCAATAAAAACGGAGCAGCAAAAGGACATTTACAACTTTGGACAACTTATCTTGGAAATCTTGACAAATGGTAAGCTGATGAATGCTGGCGGATTGATGCAGAACAAGCCAAAGGATGTTCTTCTACGAGAAATATACACAGAAAACGAAGTGAGTTCTAGTGCTTTTGAAGAAGAAGAAATTAAAAGAGTTGTTGAGGTCGCACTTCTCTGCATAAGAAGTAACCAATCTGACCGTCCTTGTATGGAAGATGCACTCAGGCTCTTGTCTGAAGCAGAGAATAGGTTTAAATAGGTAATAAGGTCAATGTTAATATGCACATAATAAAGGGAATCCTTATATATGTATTGTAATGTACCAAAACGTTCTCTTTCTTTCTTCTATAGACAGGTGTGACTTCTTAGTTACTTTCTGGATCTTTGTGGTTATGATGTTGTACTTGTATTATACGTTCAAAAAACGTATGGTCTCTGTAGTTTTAATAGATTGTGTAAGTGTGCCATCTAAATGAAATGAAGATTGCAAATTCTTACCTTTTATGTTCAGAGTTAACTGGTTTACGCAAGCCACCAGATAGGAACACACAGCTTGCTTCGGTTGTGTTCCATATCTTACAATTTTTAACGGACCCTTAGCCAAACCTATTAGATTAGAAACACTAACTAACTTCCAAGGTCCTACACCTACAACACACACTTCAGGGGTAGTTCAACAGCTCCAGATTTTCGTCCAATCAAATCATATTATTCCAATCCAAGAAAACGTTACTTTACCTATAATAATATCGCTGACGTCAGATCCCACCGTTAGAGCTGACACTTGTACCACCGTTTCCTGCATTTTCCACAAGCGAGGAGGAGAGAAGCTTTGTGTGTGTAGAGAGAGAGAGTGAGAAAGAAGAAAGAATGGGTTTGCTTACGAACAAGATGGAGAGGGAAGAGTTAAAGCCAGGGGATCATATCTACACTTACAGAGCAGTCTTCGCTTATTCTCACCATGGTGACTTTAGATTCATTCTTCCCAAGTTTCTTCCTTTCTTTCTAGATAACTCCATTATAGTATACAAGATCCGATTTTGTTAATGCAGGTCTTGTCTTTTGGTTTCTAGTGGCTTACTTTTTTCGATTTAATCTTGTATGTTTTTGGAACTGTATAAATTCTTAAAGTTAAAGACTTTATCTGGACAGATCTTAAAGACAAGGAGGGTCTTTACTTTTATCTTATTGAAATCAAATCTTTGCATGACCTAATTTCACACTGGCCCAGTATTTTGTTGTTATTCATCTTCTGTTGTGTCTGTCTATGCATTGTTTATGTCTTACTCACATTTTCAACATATTTGATCCCAATTTCCTGTGTTGATGAATGGGTATTGCATCAAAATTGTTAATGGGATTAAATTTGATTGTTGGATACCAATATTTTTGCAGGAATCTTTGTCGGTGGGTCCAAAGTTGTTCATTTCAGACCTGAACACAACCCCATGGAGTCATCATCAACATTATCAATTTCATCTTTCTCTGGTGATGATATTTGCTCGGTATTTCCTGATTGCGGTTTCAGACAACCAGACAGTGGAGTAGTCCTTTCTTGCTTAGACTGTTTCCTCAAGAACGGCTCACTCTACTGCTTCGAATATGGAGTCAGTCCACCGGTTTTTCTCACCAAAGTCCGCGGAGGCACTTGCACAACCGCGCAGTCTGATCCAACTGATTCAGTCATCCACAGGGCAATGTACCTTCTACAAAACGGGTTTGGCAACTATGACATTTTCAAGAACAACTGCGAGGATTTCGCGCTCTACTGCAAGACGGGTTTGCTTATAATGGATAAGCTAGGTGTAGGGAGAAGCGGTCAAGCTTCTTCAATTGTTGGTGCTCCTTTGGCTGCAATCCTCTCTTCTCCTTTCAAACTGCTGATTCCAAATCCCATTGGTGTAGCTACAGTTACTGCTGGAATGTATTGTATGAGCCGGTATGCTACTGACATTGGTGTTAGAAGCGACGTCATTAAGGTTTCCGTTGAGGATTTGGCTCTCAACCTTGACGTGAAGACCATTGAACAAGTTGAAGAAGAATAAAGAAGATTCTGATACCGAGTATGTTAGGTGACAACTTCACACATCTCTTCTTAATTACTAGATAGAAAAACTCTGTTGAAATCACCATCGCACCTCTGTAATACGCGCTTGTGTTTCAGATCCAACACGACAACGTATTAGAGCAGAATTTTTGATAATAAATGTGATTAATGTTTAATCAAAACATAAAAAAAGGCTAAGGATCGGGACTTAATGTAGCATTTTAAGATATAGAGAGAGTTATGAGGATTTTTAGTGTGTTGTTTCTTTCTCTATTGACTATTTAGCTAAACTCTAGAGACTTCAAATTTTGATGGGCTTGGCTTTGCTCTTGTTTGTTGTAGGATGTTGAATATTCTGGAATCTAAAGGCATGTGTTAAAATTCGTCTCTCAAGGGTGCAATCCAAAAGCTGTGAGTAAAAAAATTGTGGTTTGTTCTTGGTTATAAAACTTGTCAATTTGTGTGTACATGATCTCATTTGATTGGGGTTCTGAAAAGTGTCAGTGTCAGTGTCGTCAATGTGTGTGTTCTCCATTAGCTTTACCATTAAGAAGTAAAAAAGAGATCTTCATGCTGTGATTTCTGAGTTTCTTAGAGCTCTGGAAGTGATATAAGAATATTGCTCTTTTGTATTTGTTTCTATGAATATTTTTGTTACCTTATATTTTAAAACGGCGTCGTTTGGAATAGGTTTCCCAAAATGTCAATCTCAGTTTTTTTTCTTCTCAAGCGACGAGGATAGATTTTCTAATAAATCTCTCGAATCACAAAATTTTCATTTAAAGATGATTCGATTAATAAACGGAAAATATTTGTGCAAGTGAGTTAGGTAGTGATAAACACATGCCAAGCAGCACACTGAGACACGCTTTGTGAAGATAGAATAGCTAGAGCGCAAGTTCATGTAGCGGTGCATAAATTACAAATTTTCATAATTTCTTTATAAATAAAAAATTGGTAAGCACGTGGTGTTATTATATGCACTGGTCTTTGACTTTTGACTCGATCCCATCTGTTAAAAAACTTCGTCTTCTTCCTCCAGATTTCTTTTTCTCCCATTTCTTCGCTAAACGAGAATGTCTTCTGGATTCTCGAAAACTAAGCAGAGGAAAAAAGCTGACTTAGCCACGGTTTTGCGCAAGTCATGGTACCACTTAAGGTTGTCCGTGCGCCATCCCACTAGGGTCCCGACTTGGGATGCCATCGTTCTCACGGCGGCTAGTCCTGAACAGGCGGAGTTGTACAACTGGCAGCTCCGGCGAGCGAAACGGATGGGACGAATAGCTAGCTCCACTGTTACTTTGGCCGTTCCTGATCCAGATGGCAAACGGATTGGGTCTGGTGCTGCCACTCTTAACGCCATTCATGCTCTCGCTCGCCATTATGAGAAATTAGGTTTCCATCCTCCTCCCGAGGTAAATTGTGCTGCCAGGTTAGATCCATAATTTGAGGTTTCGCATTGTGCAATAAACTCTCTCTGTGTTTTGTCATCTGGACACTTAAGTGACCTTAGATCTGTTTGTTTGCTTAAACAATATATATATAGCAAAATAGCACTATTTTGATGATTTGATGGTTTTGTTGATAATCAGCAGGTGGAAGTTGCAAATGGTACTTGTCCTACGGAGTCCCCTCCAAAGTCTTGGGTTAGATTCCTCTCTGAAAAGCATGTACTGATGCTTCATGCGGGAGGTGACTCCAAAAGGGTTCCATGGGCAAATCCTATGGGGAAAGTATTCCTCCCACTTCCGTATCTTGCTGCTGATGATCCTGATGGTCCTGTTCCTCTCCTTTTTGATCATATACTGGCAATAGCTTCATGTGCAAGACAGGCTTTCAGAGATGAAGGTGAAATTCTCCTACTTTATTGCTCTGTGCAAGTGACATATTCAAATGTTCTTGTTGTCCATTCTGCAGCTTCCTGCTTAAGCTACATAAACCGGAGAAATAGTGTGTTTTTTCGTGTGATATTTATCACCTATTTTTTTAAGGGTTGTCTGGAGGCTGATCTCAACTTTTTAACTTGTGAAGGTGGTTTATTCATTATGACTGGAGATGTCCTCCCTTGTTTTGATGCATTCAAAATGAGACTCCCTGAAGACGCAGCTTCCATTGTTACTGTGCCTATCACTCTTGATATTGCTTCCAACCATGGTGTTATTGTCACATCCAAATCTGAGTCCCGTGCCGAAGGCTGTATTGTAAGTTTAGTAAATGATCTTCTGCAGAAGCCTACAGTAGAGGAGCTTGTCAAGAAAGATGCAATCTTACATGATGGACGGACGCTTCTTGACACTGGGATAATATCTGCAAGGGGCAGAGCATGGTTGGACCTGGTCGCTCTTGGATGCTCATGCCAACCCATGATCTCAGAGCTTCTAGGAAATAAAAAAGAGGTAATTTTCTCATATTTATGCAGTTTGTTCATAAAGAATGTCCTTGTTCTTGAACATACATTGGCTTCTTACAGATATTTGGTCATGAAATCGTTTCTGACTTTGCAGATGAGTTTGTATGAAGATTTGGTGGCTGCATGGGTTCCTTCAAGGCATGATTGGTTGCGAACCAGACCTATGGGTGAACTTCTTGTCAACAGTCTGGGGAGTCAAAAGATGTATAGCTATTGCACCTGTATGTTCGGACTAATCCCAAGACTAACTAAATTAAAAATATTTCGGTTGCATATGGTCACGTTTCTAATCCCTTTCTATCATCTTGTGTTAGATGATTTGCAGTTTTTGCATTTTGGAACATCAAGTGAGATATTGGATCATTTAAGCGGAGATGCTTCAAGAATTGTAGGTCGCAGACACTTATGTTCCATTCCTGCAACTACGGTTTCAGATATTGCAGCGTCTTCTGTTATTTTGTCTAGTGAAATCTCACCTGGTGTCTCTATTGGTGAAGATTCACTTATATATGATTCAACAGTTTCTGGTGCTGTACAGATTGGCTCACAGTCCATAGTTGTTGGTATTCACATCCCAAGTGAAGATCTTGGAACTCCAGAGAGTTTCAGGTTTATGCTTCCGGATAGACATTGTCTTTGGGAGGTCCCACTGGTGGGACATAAAGAGAGAGTGATTGTGTATTGTGGTCTCCATGATAATCCAAAGAACTTGATTCATAAAGATGGTACTTTTTGCGGTACACCTTTGGAGAAGGTACTTTTTAATCTTGGCATTGAGGAAATTGATCTCTGGAACTCGTGTGCTACACAAGACAGATGTTTGTGGAATGCAAAATTGTTTCCGATTCTCACTTATAGTGAAATGCTGAAGTTGGCGTCATGGTTGATGGGTTTAGATGATAGTGGAAATAAGGAGAAGATTACCGTATGGAGAAGCTCACAACGTGTAAGCTTAGAAGAGTTGCACGGATCAATAAACTTTCCTGAGATGTGCAGTGGTTCCAGCAATCATCAAGCTGATCTTGCGGCTGGAATCGCTAAGGCATGTATGAACTATGGTATGCTAGGGCGAAATTTGTCTCAGCTGTGCCATGAGATTTTACAGAAAGAGTCATTAGGATTGGACATATGCAAGAATTTTCTGGATCAATGTCCCAAATTTCAGGAGCAAAACTCCAAAATTCTTCCAAAGAGTCGGGCATATCAGGTAGAAGTTGATCTTCTTCGAGCATGTGGGGCTGAGGCAAAAGCTATAGACTTGGAGCATAAAGTCTGGGGAGCAGTTGCAGAAGAAACTGCTTCAGCTGTGAGATATGGTTTTAAAGGTAAAATCTTGCTACTGGCGTTTCTACATTATTCTTTGACAGATAAACCTGGATTAACTCTTGTATTTGTTCTCCAGAGCATCTATTGGAATCAAGCGGCAAGCCTCATACCGAGAATCATATTTCTCATCTGGATCGAGTGTTTCAACCAAGAAGGACAAAAGTTGAACTACCAGTTCGAGTAGATTTTGTAGGAGGTTGGAGTGATACACCTCCTTGGAGTTTAGAGCGTGCAGGTTGCGTCCTGAACATGGCTATAACTTTGGAAGGTTCACTTCCAATTGGCACAATCATCGAAACAACAAATCTGGCTGGAATCTCAATCCAGGACGACGCTGGAAACGAGCTACACATTGAAGATCCAATAAGCATCAAGACACCATTTGAAATCAATGATCCATTCAGGCTTGTTAAATCTGCTCTATTGGTAACCGGCATTGTCGAAGAAAACTTTATCAAGTCCACAGGACTAGCAATAAAGACATGGGCCAATGTACCTCGTGGTAGTGGTTTAGGGACCTCTAGCATTCTAGCTGCAGCTGTTGTGAAAGGACTTCTCCAGATATCGAATGGAGATGAGAGCAGTGAAAACGTTGCGAGGCTCGTCTTGGTTCTGGAGCAACTCATGGGTACTGGAGGTGGCTGGCAAGATCAGATCGGTGGATTATACCCAGGAATCAAATTCACTTCAAGTTTTCCAGGAATTCCTTTGCGTCTTCAAGTCGTTCCTTTACTCGCCTCACCACAGCTAATCTCAGAGTTGGAGCAACGTCTCCTTGTTGTTTTCACCGGTCAAGTAAGTAACAACAAGAACTGAGAGACAAACAAAAAACATACAGTTAAAGTCTCATTCATTCCTGCCTTAATTGAAACAGGTCAGGCTTGCTCACCAGGTCCTACACAAAGTTGTAACAAGGTATCTGCAAAGAGATAATCTCTTGATTTCAAGCATTAAGCGGTTGACAGAGCTGGCAAAATCCGGGAGAGAAGCGCTAATGAACTGTGAAGTGGATGAGCTTGGCGAGATAATGTCAGAAGCTTGGAGATTGCATCAAGAGCTCGATCCGTATTGCAGCAATGAGTTTGTGGATAAGCTATTCTCGTTTTCACAGCCTTATAGCTCAGGTTTCAAGCTTGTAGGTGCAGGTGGTGGAGGATTCTCTCTTATATTGGCTAAGGACGCGGAGAAAGCTAAGGATTTAAGACAAAGATTGGAACAACATCTAGAGTTTGATGTCAAAGTTTATAACTGGAGCATCTCTATTTAACGCCAGCCTTGTAATGATATGTTTATTTTGTTTGGGAACCTTTGAAAAGATAATACATTATAAAGAAAATTATACGTGAAAGATGTTGTTTATTTGATAAAGTTGGATGCTTTTAGAGAGGAAATCGAATTTGACAGAGACACAGCAGAAGAATCCTAGGGAACAGTGAACGACGTCGTTCTCGGATACAAAATTCTTTGCTTCACCTACTTGACCAAGTCGTTATCTTCTTCTTGCTTTGGTTGGTTACTTCATAGTTCAGTGAGCAAAGATCAGACATGGACGTGTTCCTTCCTTGTAGTTGTTGGGATAGAAAAGCTACATAGCTTTGAGCAACTTTAAGATATGCAATTTGATTTATCCATTCAGATACATGTCAGACACTGAAACCCACTAAATAGCTGTTGCGTAAAATTGTTCCATATCTTACAATTTTTAACGGACCCTTAGCCAAACCTATTAGATTAGAAACACTGACTAACTTACAAGGTCCTACACCTACGACTGTTCCTTTTTTAATCAACACATCTACACAACACACACGTGATACAAAAATCGTAGGAACCCTGTCTTCATAAGTTATATCCTTCGTTTTCCCCATCTTTTTCCGGTGTCTAAACCAACCAGCCTTGAAGATGAAGGAGCAGGCGATGGACCTTCTACACCAATAGACTCTGGAATGTC